GACTTCGACTCAGGCACTTCCCCCCCTACTTTGTTGATGTGCTTTGTATTTTTTCATTGTAATAAATCAGAGCCACGAGGCCAACTCTACACTGAGTTCTGTGAGTCCTGGGACACCCTTGAACCTGAGAAAGGTCCTGGGGTCCTGTACCCAAACCCCCCCCAACCCCGCTTGCCTGGAGTCTCGGGAGCCTGACTGGGGTAACTGAATCTTCTGAGGAGGAAACGCCCCCTCCGTAGCTGCCTCCACCCCCACCACCCAGGACCCCTGCCCCTTCTTCCCCAGAAGGAGGGCGGCTGCTGCTTATCTCCACGCCGTCAAATCCCTGGTTTTCTTTCTTGATGCTGGGGCGGGGGGTAGGTAGGGCAGCAGATTCATCAGTTTTTCTTTCTTTCTTCTTCCTCATTTGTTTTTTCATTTTCTAGGATACAACAGCCAACAAAATCCCTTCTCTGTCCTCAGGGTGCTCCCAGTCTTTGGGGAGGAAACAAACATTCAAACAAGTATAGATCATACTGAGTGTTGGTGTGTGAGGAGCGCAGAGGAGGACCCTGGCCTTAGAGTGGGGGGTCAAGGAAAGCTTCCTGGTGGAGGTGATATTTCCATGGGAAGGATGCATGGGATTTAAGGTGAGTTCACATGTTAGACTGGGTGGTGGTCCAGAGACAGCCAAGTGTTTTCATTGCTGGAAGAGGTTCTTAGGCCATGCCTCTCTCTCTCCTGGTCGTGAAGATTCGAGAGCACAGGGTTCATTGAGGGAGGGTGCTTAGCGGGAAGGAGTGAGGGGAGCAGGCTAGGACAGAGATAGGAGCTCAGCCTCACTGCTTGGGCAGCCCTGGAGCCTGAGTAACAGCATGGAGTTGATGTGCCCTTGGGGTGAGGGCTGGTCTTTTGCCCCTCTGTGACCATCTGCCGTTGGCTGTGGGCTAGGCCGAGGGCTTGTGCAGCTCTTGGACTGGAAGGCAGTTCTCGGGAGAAGGGAAAGCTCTGAGCTGTTAGCAGGTGACACTCACAGCTGCTGGGGGATGGGCGCTCCAGCTGCAACAGGTGGCTGGACAGGGCATGTACGGTGCCCACAGCAGGGGCTTCGGCCAGTCTAGGATGACCGGGTTACTTGGAGGGGGGAGGTGGGGAGCAATGAGGCCAGAGGAGGAGACCAGCGTAAGACTAGGCAGGGTCTTGAGTGCTGTATTAATGAGCCTAGACTTCATCTCGAGGTAATAGGGAGCCATGGGAGGACTTAGAATGTAGGAGGGACATGGCCAAGTTGGGTAGGGCTGCTCTGGAATTCCCCCGAGTTCAGTGTGAAGATGAACGATGTCTCTGGGCCTCCTCCACGCTGACTTCTTCAATCTGGAGTGTCCCTAGATTTCCCCTTTGCTGGGAAAGTCACAAGGGGGTTAGGCTTCTGCAAGCAATTGGGCATTTCCTCTACCCCATCCTTCTCCTTGTTCTGCCCTGCAGCTTGCCCTGATCCCCGCAAGATCTCTGCTGACCTAGATATTACGGCCTCAGTCGCCTCTTCTGGGTTTGAAGGGAAAGTGGCACCTGTGTTCTCAACCGCTCACCAGGCCCCCAGACCCCACCTGTGGTAGGGAAAGTGATGAGGCTCCCACATCCCAAGTTGTCCACATCCTCATCCCCAGAACCTGAGAATATGTGACTTTAAATTTCTAAAGGGACTTTGCCGATGAGATTAAGTTAAGGGGCTTGAGATGGGGAGATTATTCTGAACCATTCCTGTGAGTCTAATATGATAACAAGGGTATTCTTAAGAGGGAGGCAGGGTGGTCAGGAGAGAGAATGAGAGAGAGAAAGAGAGAGAGAGAGAGGTTGGAAGATGCTACACTGCTGACTTTGAAGATGGAGGGAGCCTTGACCCAAGGAATGTGGGTGCCTCTAAAAGCTGGAAAAGACAGGCATGGATTTCCCCCCAGAGTCTCCAGATGGAACACAGCCTTTCTGACATGTTGATTTCAGTCCCAGAAGGCTCCTTTGGGACTCTTCACCTCTAGAACTGTAACATAGTAAGTCTGTGTTGTTTTAAGCCTCTAAGTAGGTGGTTTCTCCTATGAGTAGCCATGATCATTAAGCATAGTGGATAATAATAATGACAATAATAACTAATATTTTTGAGCATTTAATTTGGGCCAGGCAGGGTTTTATGACTTTTATCGCATTAAGCCTCAAACCCTATGAAATTATTATTATCCTCAATTTACCGATGGGGAAAATTGCTTTTGGGGTATTGGTTATCTCTTGCTGTGTAACAATTACTCTAAAAACTAGCTTTAAACAACACATTTTAAATTTCCTTTCTTTTTTAATCCTCGCCCAAGTGTATGTTTATTGATTTTAGAGAGAGAAGAAGGGAGAGTGGGGAGAGAGAGAGAAACATTGATTGGTTGCCTCTCGTACACACCTCAACTGGGGATCGAACACACAGCCTAGGCATGCACCCTGACCTGGAATTAAACCTGAAACCTTTTAGTGTATGGGACGATGTGGTCAGGGCCACTTTTAATTTTCTTATAGTTTCTGAGGGTCAGAAACCTGGAGGTGGCTTAGCTGGATTATTGAGGATTAGGGTCTCTCATGGGGTGGCAGTCAAGCCGTTGTTGGGGGTCTCAGTTCTCTGATATGTGGGCTTCTCCATAGCACGTGGTGACTGGCTTCCCAAGCCGCTCCTCTGTGAATGATCCTGAAAAGAGACAGCAAGGAGGACGCCACAATATCTCTTATGAACTCAGATGTCCCAGATGCCACAATCTCGACCTAACACGATGTCACATTCTCTTTATTCTGTTCATTAGAAGCAAGTCAGCAGGTCCAGGGCACACTCAAGGAGAGCGAATTTAGGCTCCCCCTCTTGAAGGGAAGAGGATCAAAGAATTTGTGGACATATGTTAAAATTACCACGTTGGGCTGTCTGCCTTGAGGGTCCACGCTCCTGGATGCCCTGAGCAAGGATTATAGAAGAAAGTACAAGCCCCAGCCGCCCCTCCCAGCGGGCAGTTATCACCCCATGTACTCTGTCCCCTCTACAACAATCCTCTGCAACAGAGTTCATTGTTATCTCCATTCTCCAGCTGAAGACACTGAGGCCCAGAGAGGCAACTCCCCTCCCCAGGTCACTGTGGGAATACCTTGCAGAGTTGGACTTAATCCCAGCTCCGTCTGACCCCAGCTCCTGTCACGCAAGAGCCGACGTAGAGCTTCCCTGGGTGTCACATACACCCACTCCCCAGCCCGGTGAAGCAGACCTTACTGTTAGTGGGCCTGTTTTACAGATGGGAATGTTGAGGCACAGAGAGATTAAGAGCTTGCCCAGGACCACACATGACTAGCAAACAGCGGAGATGGGTTTTGAACCCATCCCCTGGGAAGAGGGTAGTGATCTGGTTCCAGAGTCTCTGTTTATCCTTCAGTGCTTCTCTTAAAGGTCACACAGCTCTGTTTATTCTCCTTCTTGGGTACAATTTGCCATATTTTCACAGTGGCTCTTAATTCCAGCTTCATGGGGACCACTGACGCATCTTCTTCAGTGATCATAACACCAAGACGGGTGTTTTGCCTTGAGGAGAACAAAAGGGAGAAGGCAAGAGCCAGGAGCACTTTTCTCCTGGTGAACTTGGGGCAGGTCTTTGCAGCTCGTTTTTAGCTCGTGACAGATGCTCCTTGTGCCACTCCACACCCCTCAGCTCACACTAGACTGACCTCTGTCTTGGGAGCCCTGTTCTGTCTGCCTGGAGACCAGGCCCGAGGATTCATGAGTTGACGCAAGGCTCAATGCATGATTGATAAGTAGCTGGAGGACAAACACCCCAGTTCCCTTGCCCCTCAGTTGAGATAACTCTGAATAGGGGGCTCTATGCCTCCTTCACGCCTCCTTCAAGAGGTGCCCAGTGAGGGTAAGCCCAGGTTTTCACTGTGTATGTTGCTTGATAACACACCCGCTGTGGCCTCGTTCCTGGCCATGTTCCCCTCCCTCCCCAGCTGGAGTTTTCTGGGGTCACCTCCATGAGAAACTACTTTCACTAGAATCCTCGTCTCCGTGTCAGCTTCTGGGAGATCCTAATGAAGGCACTCCTAGACCTCCATATGGATGCGACTGTGCTTGCATGTGTGCATGTGTGTGCGTGTTGAGTTGGGGGCTGGGAAGGGGATGAGAGAGTAGCTGTGCACAGGGCGATGACATGCTGTGGTCAGGGAGAGTGGAGAGCTGGGGGAAGATGAGATAGTTGAGTCTCTAGACCTTGGCAGAGGGCCCTGGATTCAAATCTGAGGCCCTCCGAGGAATCTTGGACAAGTCTCATCTCCTCCTTCCTTTTTTTTGTTTTATTTTTGTAAAATAGGTGGGGGTCAAAACTCCTACTTTAGGATGTTGATGTGACAATGTAATTAAATTTTGTTAGCCGTGTGTAATAACAGAGATTTTTTTAAAAAATCCTCACTTAAGGATATGTTTATAGATTTGAGAGAGAGAAACATTGATCAGTTGCATCCCATACGCACTCTGGGGATCGAACTCACAACCTTTTGGTATATGGGACCACACTCCATCCGACTGAGCCACTCACCCAGGGTGGGGAATGCCTTTTTTTTTTTTTTTTTTTTTTTTTTTTTTTAACGTGCCAGGCTGTGAAGAGGTCCTTGAGCTTGCTTCTTTGAGGGCAGGTGGCCGAAGCTCATTTAGTATCAGCGGCAATAAAACAAGCTGGTAAGAGACAGGAGATAAGATATTGGTTGGAAAGAAAAAAAGAACAGGCGGGTGGGAAGGAGAGAGAGGGAGAGTGAGACCATAGTGGCCTGCCAGACAGACCAACCTCTCTTCTTCACTGTGGAGAAAGCAGAAAATTAGGGGTTTTGCCATGCTGTCCTCATGAGTGGCAGCAACTCAGCAAAAAGGTCCCTGGCGCTCTGGTAGCAGTTGAGCAACTCTGGCTCCGCCCCTCCCCGCTCTGTTTTATTGGAAAACCCGAGGATGCAGAAAAGGCTGTCCTCCGTGAAGAGAGACACAGTGCGATGTGGACTTTCAGCCTGCTCCTCTTCTGCGGTGAGTGTCAGTTTCTGTAGACCTCCGAACGCGTTCTGGGAGGGGGCAGGCTCCCCCACAGCCTGCTCCCACAGGGAGCCCGGGAGAGCGAATTGCGCCAGGAAGGTGACCTGCTCAGAGCCAAGGGGGCCAGGCTGTCCCCATGCCTCGGTCAGTCATTGCTTCTAGGCTGGGGAAACCGCTGGGGGATGGCCGTGCCCACCTGCTAAAGCGGGTGGGAGGTGGTGCCAAGGGTGGCCACCAGCCCAGCTCTCCCGACCTGGCAAAGCGAAAGAACTGGAGAGCTGACGCAGGTAGCTCCCTGGGAAGAGGCTGTGTTTTCCTCATCACATGCCCCTTCCTGCTTTCATCATGGGCACTTAGGGAAATATGAGGACTGGCTAGGTGACAGGGTGGGTCTTGGCCGGATCTCAGAAGCATCTAACGACTTTTCTTTTTGCAGGTTGGCAGCACTACTCAACACAGGCGAATTTGGGTAAGAGATGCCCCCTGACTGAAGGCTGTTAGAGCTTGGGCAGGTGCCTCTGCCTCCCAGTTTTGTCATCTGATTAATGGGTATTGTGATGACCCCACCTAATGGGATGGTTGTTAGGATTCCGCTCCATATGGTGTTGTTAAGAGGGGGGCTCTGGAGCTACACCTCCTGGGTTTGAATCTTGGTTCCAGTGCTCGTTGCCATGGGGACCTCTGGTATTTGAATCAATTCCAGGAACTTCAATTTCCATGAAAGTAAAGGTTAGAGGAGCTAATCCCACAGGATTTTGATGAGGATAAAAAGAGGTAAGATAAAGGCAGGGCTGAGATTGGTACTTGGAATATAGTAAGTGCTCAATTAAATTAGCCCCTCCCCCACTTCCTCCTCCCCAGCTCTTGCCTCTCCTTCGCCTCCTTCTCCTCCTCCTCTCCCTCCTTTCTCCTCCTCAGATAAATATAAATTATCTGGTTATTATCAACAGGGCTGCAGATGAGCCACAACTGGTAGCCAGCGAGGGGGCAGAGCCAGGATAACGACCAGTCTCCTGGATTCCTTCCCAGCATTAGTTCCTTCCTCTTTGCTCTGGTCTTGCATTCTGACCTGTGGTGTGACCTGGGACAGCTTGAAATGCTCTTGGGCATCGCTTTCCACATTTGTAAAATGTAGTCAATAGCATGTACCAGTAGTAGGTTGACTGACAACCCTGACTTGCCCCAGATTGGTGGGTGGGGTGGGGTGGGAACCCAGGATGCTGGACTTCAAATGCTAACACCAGGAAAGTCCTGGGAAAACCAGGATGAGTTGGTCACCCTACCTTAAAGTGTTATTGTGGGGACTGGAAAAACTGCATGGTAGGGACCTAGGAAATGGAAGTTCTAGTTATATGTTCAAACTCTCTCTGCCTCTCCGAGCCTCAGTTTTTTGGCTTAGGTTAATTAAGTGCCCATCTGTAAAGTTGTTTTGCTCATGAATGAGCATCATGGGTGTGTCTCAGATGTACTGTTGAAGTGGCCTTTGGCCTGGTCCCCTAGCTTGTCCTCCCGGCAGCAGCGAGATGGCACCTGTGAGTACCTGAACTGGTTTTGTTCCTCTTTTGCCCAGAGCCCTCCAGGACTCCCACCTCCCTCAGGGTAGGAGCCAAAGTACTTTCTGTGGCCCGCAAGACCCTGTGTGATCTGCCAGTCCCCTCCCTGCCCTCACTTCTCCCTCTGCCCCTCACTCACTCTGCTCCAGCCACATGGGCCTCCTTGCTGTTCAAACCACACACCAGGCACAGCCCTGCCTCAGGACCTTTGTACATGCTGTGCCTTTAGCCTGGAATGCTCTTGCCCTGTGTAGACACATGGCTCCCTCCATCACCTTCTTTATGTTTCAGTTCCTGTGTCATCTTCTTAGTGACTACTCTATTTTTGACATTGTATCCGTCACCCTCACCTCTTCAGATTATCAGTCCTGTGAAGGTTGATAATTTTGTGTGTCTTGTTCCACTGCTGAATCTACCATGCCTAGGAGAGTCCTGGCATATAGTAGGTGTTTGCATTAGGATACTCCAGAGGAGCAGAACAAATAGGGTGGATACCTATCTCTCTCTCTCTCAATATATATTCATATATGTAAAGATACATAATAAGGAGTTGGTTCACATGATTTCAGAAGCTGGTAAGTCCCAGGTTCCATAGGGTGAGGTGCAAGGTCTTGAGACAGGAAAGGATTTGAGGAACTGAGCAAAGGTGAGCATAGCTAATGGGACAGGGCAGGAGATAAGCTGGAGAGGCTGACAGATGCTCAGGCACAGAGGACTGGGTTGTTCTGGTTGGGGGTGGATTTTGAGCTGTGGCAGACAGAGCTAGAGGAAGAAAGCATTGGGAAGTGCGGAGTGGGGAGACCGCAAGTGGCGATGTGCCGGAAGTCTGCAAAGAGAAAGGTTGGCTCTGCAGATGAAAGAGGAAGCTGGAAATGAGAAGAAAGATACCATCTGAGTGCAGGGAAGGGAAGTAAACAAAGTAGTTGTAAGAGTCAAAAAAGCCTGGCACTCAAGAACCTAATCATGATAATTCATCCATTATGTTTGTATTGTTTCCCCATAATATCCCATCCTACGATGGATGTTGGCAATATCGTTGACTCCTCTCTTTCACCCCCCCTCCCGATCCGCTGGCACATCCTGTCGGCATTACCTTCAGAATAAATGCAGAATCACATGCTTTCTGCTGAGCTCACCTGGCAGGCTCCCCCCGCCCCCCCCCGCCGCCGTCAGTCGTTGCTCCCCCGGACAAGTGCAGACACCTCTGCCTTGTCATCCTGCCTGGGGCCCTCTGCAGTTCTCTCTCCAGCTGGTGGCCAGAGATCACATAAAACCTAGGCCATGTGGTGCCCCTCCTCTGCGCTAAGCTCTCCCATGGCTCCCGCTTCTCTCCGATAAAAAGCTGAAGCCTTACCATGGTCTGGCAGATCCTCCACGATCTGGCCGTGCCACCTCCTCTGGTTCTTCCCTCCCCCCGCTCTGCTCCAAACACACCGCCCCCCTCGTAGTCCCATGAAATCACCAGGCCTCATCCTGCCTCATGCCTTTGCCTTTGCTGTTTCCTCTGCCTTAAGGAGCTTCCTAGCTCACCCTCTCACCTCGCGCAGACCTTTGCTCAGACATGACCTTCTCAGTAAGGTCTTTATGTCTGAGCAATGACTGTACCAGGAGCTGTTCAACGCACTCAGGACATGGCAATAAATAAGACCGACACAACTCGCTGACCTCTGGGAGCTCACAGTCCAACCAATTCTCAACATTTTTCTATAGGATTACCTTAGAAATTGCATGAAAATGTATCCCATTTCCAGTCAGACCTACCTTCTCATGAGTAGCAGTAGTGAAAGCCATGTACTTTGGGGTTCGACAGGCCTGGAGTTGCCACTTACCTGCTGTGCGTTCTGGGGCAAGTCACTTAGCTTCTTTGAGCCTGTGTTTCACATCCATACAATGGGAATTTTATCAGTTTCCTATTACTGTTGTAACACTTGACTGCAAACTTGGTGGCTTAAAGCAACCAAAACATTATCTTACAGCTCTGGAGATTGGGAATCCAAAATGTCTCATTGGGCTGAAAGTGTTGGTGGGGCTGCATTCCCTTCTGGGGGCCCTAGAGGAGAATCTGTTTTCTTGCCTTTTCCAGCTGCTAGACGTACGTCACCTGTATTCCTGGGCTCATGTCCCCTTCCTCCGTCTTCACAGCCAGCGATGGCTGGTCAAGCCTTTCTGTCATTGCATCACTTTGACTCCACCTCTCCTGGCTTCTCCTTTCACATATAAAGACACTGTGATTAGTTGGCTCCTCCCCAATAACCCAGGATGACCTCTCTATCGCAAGGTCAGCTGATCAGCAAGCTAAATTCCATGTGCAACCTTAATTCCTCCTGTTCGTGTAGCATAACATATCACCTGGTTCTGGGATTGGGACGTGGTCATCTTTGGTGGAGCCATTATTCTGCTGATCATAGGAATGATAGTATCAAATGAGGGTCTTCCTTAGCACCCGGCGCCTGCTCCCACCTGTGGCTTTGTCCAAAGGGAACAGCAGATGCAAAGGCCCTGTCGTGGAAAGGCTAGGAATAAGAGACTGACGTGAGATGAGGCTTAAGGATGTGGTTGTTCCTGGTCACTGGGGTTTTTTTGGGTCTCGTTAAGTAATTTGGATTTTAATTCTGATTGCAACAGCCAGGGTTACAGGGAGGGATGGGGTGGATGATCAAATCTGCATACAGAGATGATTTCAGGGGACTAAGGGGGAATGTAGGACTGACGGGACAACCCAGAGGAAGATCTTTACCAAGCATAGCTGTGGAAATGGGGAGAAGGAGGTAGATGTAGAATGCTATTTGGAAGGGAGAATCAATGGAGGAGGGATTCGCTCATTGGCTGTGAGGGTGGGGGCTAAACAGGGAAACTGTGGTACAGGGAGGTGAAAGCACTTGTCCCCAGGCTGGATTGGCTAGGATGGATCTCAGGCCCCTCTCCAGATCTGCTGAACCAACATCTGATATCCCAGGCTCTCCTGGGTGTCCCAGGTGAGGCAGAGGCTACTGATCTGCAGACCACCCTCAGCAGCAAGGGTCAGTGCACCTCACCCTCTCATGGGCCCGCAGATCACCTGAGGGTCTTGTGAAAGTGCAGGTTCTGATCCAGCAGATCTGGGGCAGGGCCTGAGATTTTACTTCCATCAAACTTCCTACGGGTGCCACTGGCCCATGGACCACACATTGAGAAGGAAGGGCAAAGGGTCTTCAGGTCTTAATGAGCACCCCAGGTCGCTGTATCAGTTTCCCAGGGCTGCCATAACAGAGCAGAGACATAGTGTTTCACAGTTCTGGAGGCCAGGAGTCCAAGGTTCAGGTAGGTACTTCTTCTGATGGCTCCAGGGGGAGAATCTGTTCCCTCTACCTCTCTCAACTTCTGGTGTTGCCAGCGTTCCTTGGCTTGTAGATGCATCACTCCGATCTCCGCCTCCGTTGTCGCATGAGCCTCTCCCTGTGTCTCTGTACCTCTCCTCCACCTCTTATGAGGACATCAATCATGTCAGATTAAGGGACCATTTCTACTCCAGTATGATCTCGTCTTAACTTACATCTTAATGACGTCTGCAAAGACCCTATTTCCAAATAAGGTCACATTCTCGGGACCAAGGTTTAGGATTTCAACATATCTTTACAGGGGAGAAAATGCCACCCACAACAGTCGCCTTCAGGGGCTCACACTGGCTTTCCTTGCAGCCCCGCTCTGGTGCTCTAACCCAAGCTCTTCCTTCCACGCTGCCGAGATGTGAATGAGTGTGCGGACACCACCACGCGCCCAGCTTATGCCACCTGCACCAACACTGTGGAAAGTTACTACTGCACTTGTAAACGAGGCTTCCTGTCCAGCAATGGACTGACGCGGTTCAGAGGCCCAGGAGTGGAATGCAAAGGTGAGTTCACATGCCCTCAACATCCTCCAGGATTCAGTAGAAATTAGGTGGAAGCCGGCAGATGTAGGTACTTTGTTTCTTTCCCCCAAACATTATTCCTTCCCTCCTTCCTTTTGCCTGCCTGCCTGCCTGCCTTTCCTCCCTTCCTTCTCCCCAATCCTCTCTTCCTTCTTTTCTCTTTCTCTTTCTTTCTACCATAAAAATGCTTCCTAGTCACTGAAATTTCCAATGATTAGAGACTAGCATTATAATGAAAATAAAAATAAAGATCATTCTATTTATCAATATTCAGAAATAACCACTGATTTTATTTTGAGATCCTCCTTCTGCCTCTCCATGCAGATAAGATTTTTCTAACATTTATTGAGTGCCAGGCTCTGTGTGAAGGGCTTTAGGTTAGTTGTACCATGGAATTGAGTGTAGCAGTGGGATGCTTCTCCATTGGAAAGACGAGGAAACCAAGGCTTGAAGAGCTGAAATGACTTGTCAAGCCAGAACCCAGGTCTTTCTGACTCTAATGGTGATCTGTCAACCACATTACCTATTTGCCACACTCTAGTTGTGAGGCGTTGGGAAAATGTATCTAATCTGTCTAAGCCTCAATGTTTCTATATGTAAAATGGGTGTTTAAGAGCATCTATCTCCAAGGATAGTTGGGAAGATTATATGCAATAATGTTTGCAGTGCGCTAGGCACATATAGAGACCCAAGAGCTCCTGTTAACATAAGTGATGTAAACTCAAGTAATTCCCAGAATGAGCTAAGTTCTTTGTCTGCATTTCTTATATTTAGACCCCAGTTCTCCTCTTGAGAGTAAAGATCTGTCTGTGCCTTTGAATAAGATGAGCAAACTTTTTCTGTCAGGATCCAGATGGTAAATATTTTGGAGATTGCAGGCTGTATGATCTCTGTCATGACTACTCAGTACTCCAGCTGTATTGCAAAAGCAGTAATAAATAATACATAAGTGAATGGATGTGAATGTGTTCCAATAAAACTTTATTTACACAAACAAGTGGAGGGCCATATTTGACCCATGGGCTGTAGTTGGCTGAGTAAGATAATTCATTCCTTTCATTGAAGTTCTCAGGGAGCCCCAAACATCCTTGTTTGGGCTACAGTTCATGGGCTAGCCAGTGAGCTCAGTACTGCTGGTGGGTCTTGGTGTTTAAATATGAGGTGAAATCAACATTCCTCACCTAGAAAATGATGAGTCCTAAAGTCAGGATTTTGTCCACTTTATGTCTTTGACCCTCAGGACAGTGCCTGATAGCTTGTAAAAATTCAATAGATTTTTGTCAAATGAAATAACACATTACTTTATCCTTTATGTTAACTTCAGATTTATCATCCTGTTACTGATAGACACCTAGGTTGTTTCTAATGTTTTACAACTTCAAGCAAAGCTCGGATCAATATCCTCATGGTCTTATCTTGGTGGACAGCAAAGCTCCAGATTTCTTTTTAAGAGAGGTGCAATTAGCCAGGAGGGGGCTGAGGGAGACTTGCCTCAGAGTTTCATTGGCACGACAAGTACACAGTGAGTGTTTATTTAGGGTGGCTTGATGGAGCAGGGATGAAGGAAACTTGGGATGGGCCAACCAATGGTACCATGACTACACAATTCTATAGGCTCTTCAATGAGTAAATTTCTAGAGGTTTCTTTGCAAGGTGTTATTGACTGGGTAACAGATCACTGCAAACTTAGTGCATAAAACAATAACAATCATTTATTTTGCTGGTGAAAGAATCTACAGTTTGGGCTGGGTTTAGTTCCACACAGTGTCTGCTGAGTCAGTCCTCATGTCTTAGGGAGTTAGAAGATCCACTTTGAACAGAGCCTACTCACATGGCTGGTAAACAGGTGCTGGCTGTTGGCTGGCTGCTCCACCAGGCCTGTGGGCTGCATGTCTTAGCTCTGCTCCAAGTGGGCTGCTTTGTCACGGCTGGCTGGGCTTCCTCACAGTATAGTGCCTGAGTTCTAAGAATGAGCATCTCAAGAGAACAATGAATAATTTTTTATGATCTTGTGTCACTTCCACCATAGTCACAAGCATGCTCATTTTGAAGGGGAGGGAATATAGACCTGCTGCTTGGTGGAAGGAATACCAAATTTACATTGAATGAAGGGCGTAAGGATTAGAAGACATTACAACCATCTTTGGAAAATATAGCCTTTTATACAAGATGAAGCAAATTTGTGACTCTGATCCTTTCTCTGCCTAGATGTAGATGAATGTTCTCTACGCCCCTCACCATGTGGTCCTAACTCAGTCTGCAAAAATCTGCCAGGGAGGTACAAGTGCAGCTGCTTGCCTGGTTTCTCTTCTCCCACTGGAGATAACTGGGTCCCGGCAAAGCCAGGTCACTTCTCCTGTGCAGGTAATGCTCCCGGGCTCTGCATGGGTCTTTGGTTGACAGCTACCATGGAGTTGGGCACATGTGTTTCTAATCTTATACAGCCAATCTTGTGTCTGCTCACTCTCCTCTACTGCTCCGCAGACATCAATGAATGCCTCAGTGGAGTCTGCCCGGAGCATTCTGAGTGCACCAACTCTTTGGGAAGCTACAGTTGCCACTGCCAAGATGGATTCATCTCTAACAACTCCCGCTGTGAAGGTATGAAGGACTTGCTCTTCTTCACTTGCCTACTTAATGAAGAATCACCTCACTTGATGATCTTATAAGATAGGGATAATGAGCCTCATTTTAGGAATGAGAAAATTGAGGCTCAGAGAGGTAAAGTCACTTGCTAAAGAACACCCAGCTACTGAAGTGGAAGAACTGGGATTTGCACTCCTGTTAAGTTCCTACTATGAGTTAAGCAGTGAGGTCAGGAAGTACTTGAATGTACAGGGGGCTATGTTCCTAGAGTGATCTTTCTTTCAGGGGACATTGGCCATGTCTGGAGACATTTTTGATTGTCACTGCTGGTGGTGGTGTGGGGGTGTTGTGTGGCTACTGTCATCTAGAGGGTAGAGACAAGAGATGCTGCTAAACACATTACAATGCACAGGACAGATCCCCACCATCAAAAATCATCTGATGGTGGGCAAAGGTGTATTGGCCACCATAACGAGACATTGACTTCAGACTGAAGAATGGAGCAGGGAACTCCATAGAATATAACAGAATTTATTTTAGGGTCATGTACTCCCAGGAATCCTCCCTGGGTCGGGAAGATTGGGTCAGAGTAGAACAGACAGTCCAGCAATCTGTGCAGATTATTCTCTGATAGCAGATCTTTGCTACTGAGCTTTTTTATAGTATAACAAATACTAACTGTTAATAAGAGAAAGGGAAAAAGAATGCAGTAGTGCCAGGAACCATACCTCCCGGTGGTCTTGTGATGGGTGGTTGCTTGTAATTGATATATCATCAGTTTGATATTTATCTTGGTTGTCCTTGTATTCTGGTCATTAATATCAAAAATATTTATGGCACCCTGGCTGGGTGGCTTAGTTGGGTGAAGCATTGTCCTGTACACCAAAAGGTTCTGGGTTTGACCTCTGGTCAAGGTACACACCTAGGTTGTGGGTTCAATCCCTAGTAGGAGGGTATATGAGAGACAACCAATTGGTGTTTTTCTTTTACATCTCTCTCTCTCTCTCTCTCTTTCTCTCTCCTTTCCTCTTTCTCTAAAAAAAATTAGTAAACATATCCTTGGGTGAGGGTTAAAGAATATTTATGGCTATATATTAAGGAGCACAGATAATTATCAACTAAAAGGCTTTGATATGCTTGCTAAGGATAGTGAGGTTGGTCACAGCATGAAATGAGATCCAGACACAAAAATGGAGTTGGTTTTGTTCACATCTACTTCTATACAAAAATAATCCCATTTCAAATGTCAGTAGTGCTAATGTAGAGACTTTCTGTCCTAGGAAGACATATACTTCAAAATTTTCTCCTAATGGTATTTGAATTAAGATCTGAGAGTTATCCTTGATCTTCCTTCTCCTTTCATATTAAATCATGCCTTAGGGAATTGACCTGCTAAATGGTCTTGAATCTCTCCATCCTTCTCCATCTTTTGTCCAAACATCATAATGACTGCAGCAGTCTCTGCCCTTCTCCAGTCTAGCCTCTTTGAATCCATCCCCCACATTGCAGTCAGAATATTCTCACTGAGAGACAGGGCTCCATCTTTCCAAGTCTGGTGCAGCCTGTCTTCTCCACGTTCACTTATGGAGAGTGACTGCATCGAGCAAGGCATGGAGTCATCAAACCTTCTTATATCTCCTTGGCTTGGAGCCAGAGACATTTTAAGTCATCTGTGGTTTCCCTAGTCCATTTGTAGTATAGTCAGCTATTGTTGACTCACAGATCGCCCTGAAAGACACTGGCTAAAAACAACCACCATTGATTCAACTCTTGATTCCATGCTTTGGCCATTGAAGTTGGGCTTTGGGGCCAGTTCTTTGGATCTCAGCTGGGGTTGTTTGTGAGTCTGTGGTCAGCTGGGGGTCAGCTTTGCCGATTTTGGTTGGGCTGTCCACATGTCTAAGGTGATCCATCTCTCTCCCATTTTGTCTTTTATTCTTCATTAGGCCAGTCTAGGCCTTGTTCATATGGTAGAAGCTCCAAGAATGAGCAGAAACAAACAACCCTCTAGAGGTCTAAATTCAGAACTGGCACCATATCACTTTTGCTGCATTCTATTGGACACTGCAAGTCATAGGGCCAGCTAGACTCAAGGGCTAGGGAAACAACTCCACATCTTAAAGAGAGGAGTGACAGATCCACGTTACATTGCACAATCCACCTCCCAGGGGGTGGATACAGGGAGGAGTGAAAGACCATGAATATCTCTGTGACCTATGATTGTTATGTTTCAAAACTATTTGCCACCCTTTTGTTTACACACTGTTGGTCAAAATTTATTCTCCCTGGAAGGTAGAAAGAAGGAGAGAACACAGGTATTGGAGAGTAGCAGCGCTATGTGTCCCTGGTTAGGAACATGTATAGTGGATCTCCTGTTCGCAGTCTCCTGTCCTCAGTTCCTCAGCTGCCTAGACCTGGGTTTTCATTTCCACTCAACAGAGGTGGATGAATGTACCGATCCCAGAGCTTGCCCGGAACATGCAACCTGCCACAACAGTTTTGGAAGCTACTCTTGCATCTGCAACCCAGGATTTGAATCCAGCAGTGGAAACATGAGTTTCCATGCCCCAGGAGTGACGTGCGAAGGTAGGTGAAGTGGTTGCTTGCAGACTCAGATCCAAGTCTGTGTTCAAAGACAGCAGTGCTGGGGCAGGAATCAGGGTGGATCTCAGCTGAGTTAACAGCCTCACCTGCAAAGGTGAAGCCAATAATCATTCATTTATTCTTTCATTCATTCATGCATTCATTCAAAAAATACTTCTGGAGCACTTACTATACATGAGGCACTATTCTAGGAATGGTGGATACAGTGGTGAAAAGTATAGGCAAAAGCATTTGTCCTGTAACTATAATCTAGTATGGGGGGAGACAGATAACAAAGAAAATAAATGCATGAAAGTATTATGTGTCACTGATAGTTAAAGGAGATGAAGACAAATAAGGCAGGGAAGGCAGATAGAGAGTGCTGGAGTGGATTTCTAATTTTAATAGAGCAAAGGCCACATTGGGAAGTTGATATTTGAGAAAAATCTGTAGGAATCAAGGGATTGAGATATTGGGTATCTGGGGAAGGGTGTTCCAGGAGGAGGGGACAGCAGGTACAAGGCCTGGAGGCAGGATCTCAGCTAAGGCTCTAGCTCTTCCATATGTCACTCCTTTTGGTCCTCCCAACATCCTGGTTTTATTGGGGATATTTTATAACCATTTTAGAGGTGGGGAAACATAGCCCTCATTGTGGTTGAGCCACTCTCCCAAGGTCAAATAGACAGAGGTAGGAGAGGCAGCATCTGAGCTGAGCCTCGGTGCGATATCACACACATGCTCCCAGCCACCAGGCCATTCTGCCTCCAAATCAGGCTGCAAACACTGGCAACTCAGGTGGGCGTAGCATGGAGCAGACATGGATTCTATCTCTATTTCCAGAGTATGGGACTCAAGGCATCTTGGGAAGCTGTCATCTAAAAATTTCAGTGCTAGATAGAGCCTGGATTTAAATCCTCGTTGTGCTTTTTACAAACTCTGTGATGCTGCACAATTGTAAAGCTCAGTTTTCTTCTCTGAAAAATGGAAATAATATTAATATTCGCCTCATAGGGCTGCTCGGAGCACTCATTGAGCTGATGCATGTAAAGGGTGTACTTCAGTGCCTGCCACAAAGAAAGCTCAACATGTTAGCAGTTAATTTTTTATTTTTGTTAACACTTACCTAGTTCTTGCTACAGCCCAGATTCTGTTTTGAGTGCTATGTAGATATCACCTTAGTGAGTCCCCTGAACAGCCTAATGGCGTGGGTCCCGTTATTTTCCCCATTTAACAGATAAATTCTCTCGTCCAGTGCATTGGTCAGCTCAGGCTACCATAACAAAATACTGCAGGCTGGGGGCTTAAACAACAGACATTACTTCTCACAATTCTGGGCACTGGAAGTTTAGGTCAGGGTGCTGGTGTGGCTGGGTTCTTGCGAGGACTGTCTTTCTGGCTTGCAGATGACTGCCTTCTTGCTGTGTCCTCATGGGGTAGAGAGAGAAAGAGGTCTTGTGTCTCTTCCCCTTCTTATAAGGGCACTAACCCCATCATGAAGGCCCCACCCCTATGACCTCACCTAAACCTAATTATATTCCAAAGGGTCATGTCCAAATACCATCCCGTTGAGGGTTAGTGCTTCAATATATGAATTTGGGGGCACATAATTTGGTCCACAGCGTCCAGTAACACACCGCTTGCAAGGGACAGAGCCAGGCTTTGGACCCAAGATGGCCATGCCCTCCAGCCTTTCCCTCTGACACATGTCAGTTGCTATTACTATTATTATTGTTAATTTTGTTATTAGTAAAATAGTGATTTCTTGGAGAGGAACTGACATTCACCAGGGAAAGAAGGGAGTAAATGAGTCTGAGGCTGAGGGGCACAGGTGAGAGAGAAGAGCCTCCGGGAACCTGCAGGTAATAAATGAGTCTGGATCATGAGTTGTGCGGCGATTAGAAGCAGAAGATGAGGGAGGTGAGCTTAGCTGAGAGCAGACTCTGAGCGTCCTGTATATTCTAATGCGGAGTCTGGGTTTACCCTGAGCTGCGGGGAGCCTCTTCGGATTCGGATGGGTCCTAGACACGCCTTGCAACGCTTCCTTTCCATAACGATGAAAATGTGTGTAAGAAGGTGAGACAGGGGTCAGGGAAGCCCCTTGGCTTTTGTCCCTGGTGGGCTGTGTACTGTGGGTACAACCTCAGCATCCTTCATCCTTATGACTGAGACCATTTTTCTGCTTAGATGTGGATGAATGTTCCAGAAACTCAACTCTTTGTGGTCTCAGTACTATCTGCAACAACATCCCAGGAGAATACAGTTGCTCCTGCCTTCCCGGGTTCATTTTGCTTGATTTTTGGATCCCGAAGCAACCAGAGGCTTTAAAATGTACAGGTAATTCTCCCAGCCATGGGGAGGACTTCTCAATAGATGTCAAATGACCCTGAAATATATAACAACAACCCTTTGTCATTATTTTACAGGTTGACTACATGGATTTTCTGGGGCACGAGGGTGGCTGGTAGGCATGGAATCGCCTTGTTTACGTGCCTGGTAGTTGGTGCTGGTCTCTGGCGGGACCCCAAATTTTCACTGGGGGAGTTTCCATATGCCTCTTCAGACTTCCTCATAGCATGACAGCTGGTCTCCAAGAAAGAAAGTTTAAAGAGGCAGAAAGCAGAAATGCCAGTCCCCATAGACCTGTGCTTGGCAATCTTCTATCACATTCTATTAGTCACAGACACAGGGCCAATGTAGACTCGGAGGAAGGAGAAATTACCTTCCCATCTCGCAGGGGAAGCGTATGTGTACAGGAAGTGCAAGGGCTGATGGAGGCTGTCCTCAGAGTATCCCCTACACTGAAGAACACATTTTATATTCTGCAACCCCCATCCCCGAGGGTATATCCAGACTTCTTTTCATTAGAAATGGCTATTTCTTCTTATTGATCTACAGTAGCTGCTGACATTGTTAGAAGCAGAACAACAGAGCAATAAAGTTGAAAGGGATCTTAGAGAGATAATTAACACAGCTCTAATGGCTCCAGGGAACCCATTCAGAATCCCCATCAAGGGTAAGAAAGCAAAACCATGGACTTCCACCCCCATTTCCGTCACACTATCTTCTCTTTCGTTTGTCTTACCTATTCAGATTCCACTGCACATGAACAAAGGTTTTTCTGGGCCAAAAAGTTTTGAAAATCATGTACCTAGTCTAGCCCAATATGCAAAATGTGAATTCCATCTCTGCTATTTTTGACAAAATCTTGCCTAATCAATGCTTAAATGTGTCTGGAAATGGGGAGCTCACTCCTTGGTTAGAGATATTTTCTATGACACCGAGAGGAAACCACTTCCCCATGCCTTCCATTAAGGGGTCATTTTCAGGTCCTTTGATGACTCCAAATTAGTCTACATTCCTATCATGAGGACTTCTTGTCCCGACTCCCCATGGTAATGCCCAGTGCAACGTATCACATACCTGCTTAAGTGACTAGCAGATGCTGCCTATTAACTTTTCATGTTTTGTGAGTTGACACAGAAATATGACAGGTTTTGTTGTTACCTCCCTCCTAATTATTTTTTCTAGGGCACTCAATTCAGTATATCCTCTGTGGTTCAGAAACTGTCAGAGGCAGAGGTGGCCCTGCATTGCCACAGTGAACTGATATCACTGTATTTGTTAGGCTAGGGTTTCTCAACCCTTGCACTATTAACATCCTGGCCTTGATAGTTCTTGGTTTTGGGGGGCTGTCCTGCCCATGGTAGGATGTTTGGCAGTGCCTTTGGCTTCTACCTACTAAATCCCAGTAGCACCCCCTCCCCCAGTCATGACAATCAAAAATGTCTCCAGACATTGCCCAGTGTTCCCTGGGGAGGCACAATGCTCCCAGCTAAGAGCAGCTAGCTTAAATATATTAGAAATATTTTACTCTCATAACAATCCACTATGGATCTACTGGGTCAATGGGCTGCCCTCCTCCACAAGGTGATAATAGGGGTCCAGCCTCCTTGCATCTCTTGGTTCTTCTATCCCTCAGAACCTTGCAATCCCTGATCCCAGCCAATAGTGGGTCAAGAGAGAGAAGGTACACATTCTTCTGGGCCACATTGGCCCAGAAGTGACAAATGTCATGCCCTTTCACATTCTGTAAGCGAAGGCTACTCACACTGATACCAAACCCAGGTTCAGCTGCCTGCCACTTGAAAGCTGATAAACAAGAGACAAGGGTTGGTGAAAACAAAGTAGGTGTATGCAAGAGCTGGCAGCCTGAGAAGATGGTGGACTAACGTCACAAAGACCATCTTAACAACTGGACTCAGGTATTTATATAAGGAGGGGCGAGGAAGAGAAAACAAATGGAACAAAGGAATTGGAAGGAGGGGGTTGAAAGTTCTGCCTTGAGGGGCCGAGGTGCGCATCAGCACAGCCTGTTCAGATAACTGGTTGAGCCAGAATATCTGGAGGTTGGAGTCTGCTGCTTTTGAAGTTAGTTCCTAGAATTCTTAAGCAAACAGGCTGTTTATCTGCACTTACATATTAGTTAACAAGTCATCATTTACAGAAACAATGTTAAAGAATGGTGGGGTGGGTTACAACATGGCCTAACTGAGATGCAGAAGGTTGTGCTGCCGTTGTTTAAATGACAACTCTATGCTTCAGAAGGGGAAACATGGCTTTTGTTGGCTTGTTGGCCGACTTTGCCTCACACCTGCCATTCTCTACTACACAGATATTGATGAGTGCCCGGATATGTGCCCTTTCAATTCAACATGCACTAATACCCTTGGGAGCTACTTTTGTACCTGTCACCCTGGCTTTGCACCAAGCAATGGACAGCTGATCTTCACAGAGCAAGAGGTGGAATGCAGAGGTGAATGGAGGGTTGTCTGGACGTCCCTGGAGAAAAGTATCTCCTTGCTCCTTTGGTTGTTTCATAATGTCAAGCTCTTTGCAGATATTGATGAGTGTATCCAAGATCCATCACTATATGGCCCCAATTCTGTCTGCACCAATGCCCTGGGCTCCTACAGCTGTGGCTGCATTGTGGGCTTTCGTCCTCATCCAGAAGGCTCATGGAAATATGGCAACTTCAGCTGCAAACGTAATTATGTCCTAGTGTGTCTTGGCAATGAAATCTGTGTCTTGCTCACTCTACCCAACCTCTAGATCCTTTTCTTACTTTTACTTCATCCACATGTTCTCTCTTTATTCATTCATTCATTTACTCATTCAATAAATTATTTTGGGGCCATCTATTAATTAGTTCATGCATCAAAAAGGCCCTTGCTCTAGGTACTGAGAATTCAATCCTGGAAATGATGGACATGAAACTTGCCCTAATGTATCTTATAGTCTAGGGAAGGAAGTAGACAGCACATATATAATTATTTAATGATCACAATGAGTGTGACCTCTGAAAAATCTTGGCACACTTTGGAGTGACTAGTGGGGTATTTAATGTGCTCTGGGAAAATGCCATTTAAGCTGAAGTTTGGAGGAAGAGTGGAGATTATGTGCAAATGCCCCGAGGCTACCACAGAGGTGGGGCAAAGGGAAATGGCACTAGCTGCACCTGAGGAGGTGCACAGAGGTCAGATTCTGCAGGACACTGTGATCTGTGGGAAGAGTTTTGGAGTCGTTTTGCCAAGAACAATGGGGAACCATAAAGATTTAAAAATTTTAAATTATGGATTATCTGAGATGTTAAAAATGTAGGCAACATCTGTGGAACCAATTAAGCACAGTAATAAAATGAATTTATCTGAGGTCCTTGCCAGCATAAAAAGTAGAATATCATACATGCCCTTGTGTGTGCTGTACACTTCTTCTCCATTGCATATCCCTGTCTCTGCCTCAGAGGGAACTGCTTTGAACTTTGTGTTTTTAATTACCATACTTAAAAAAGTATTTCTCCCTGCCCTGGCCAGGTGGCTCAGTTGGTTGGAGCATCATCCTGTACACCAAAAGGTTTACAGGTTGTGGGTTCTGTTCCTGGTTGGGGCACATAGCTGGGTTTTGTGGGTTCAGTCCTGTGTTGGGGCACATACAGGAGGCAACCGATTGATGTTTCTCTCTCACATCAGTGTTTCTCTTTCTCTCCCCTCTTCCTCTCACCCTGGAACCAATAAACATATCCCTGGGTGAAAATTAAAAAATAATAACAAAAAGAAAAATATTTCTTCCCTTGTATGTGTTCCTAAACAATACCTAACTTAGTTTTGTTTAATTTGGAGGTTTATAAAACATCTCAGAGTTCCTGATGTTGTAATGTATAGTATGTTTATTTCCACTATTGTATAATTTGGCAACGGATGGGTTTTAAGCTGTGGGCGATGCAATAAGACTTACCCTTGATCATATCCTGCTGTGCTTAAGTTTGACCTGGTTGCTTTTGTTTTCTTCCCAGGGGTTCCCTTCAAGTGTAAAGAAGATGTGATACCCAACAATAAACAGGTCATGCTGTGCCAATTTGGAGCAGCAGTAGAGCCTGAATATGTAAGTATCTTTGAAGGTTCATAGCTGTTGAGGTTTTCCTAGAAGCCAATTGAATAGGATATTGTTTGCACCTTTAATAAAGGATTTAAAATAACAGTGTCCTAAAACAGACAGTAGTTTATTTCTCTCTTTGTAACAGTCTGAGTGTAAGCTGCTGAGAGCTGATATGATGGCTCCATAATGCTCTGCCATCATTAACACAAGATTCCCTCATTGTGGTCCAATATGGTTGCTGCAGCCCTGCCATTACGTCTGCATTCCAGCTGGTGGGCAGGCAAGAGGGAAAGTAAAAGGCATTGTCTTTTCCTTTAAGACTGTGGCATGGTATTACTTCTGCTTATACCTCATTGGCCAGAAAGTAGTCACATCATCATGCAGCCTAAAGGAAAGCTGAGAAGGGGAGACATGTGCTTATTTAAAACTTGGGGATTCTTTTACTAAAAGAAGGAAAGATGTTGGAGGCTCACTACCAGTGACAGTGTTGGGGCTGCATGTATGTGATATGAGAGGGGTATTGCACAGCTCCCAGGCCAGCCAAAGAGCCTGGTTCTCTAATGAGGTTATTATATTGAGTCATGTCTTCACGAGTGTCTTCAGGAATTGAGGTCACTATTTTAAATATGAGTTTGGAAATTAGCTTAGGAATTCCCATGCACTTTCGACCACTGTTATTTTTTCAAACTGTGGTAAAACACACTTAAAAGATTCACCATTTAAACCATTTTGAAGTGTGTAATTGTTAGGCAAAATGATTTCTGGTACTTAAAATGACTGTTGCTATCTATCGAAATAAGCTGACCACCAATTCAGCCCCGGTGACGTGGGGTCTGTTTTGCTGGAAATGAATGTTCTTGCATAGATGGGAGGGTCCATTGAGCTGTTCTGCTTCGGATTAAACCGCGTTTAGCCAGCATGTGCCTCCGGCTCCCAGCCACCTGGGTCCTAGGAGGCTGTATGTACCAAGTTCCATCCCCTTTCGGGGCTGAGATCTGCCACCCTGCTGCCGCCCACAGGTGCTGCTTCTGTCCATAAGTTCCCCTCATAGGCTCTTGACGTCATTCTGGAGTCATCAGCCTCTGCGCCCCAGGAATTTTCCCAAGAAATGGCGAGTCCGTCGGGAGACTGGGGAAATGGGAAAGGGAAAAGAATCTTCCTGGAGGCCATCCTGGGTTGGCCATTGGCCCCTTTGTAGGGAGGGGTGGCCCCTATGTTGGATGCCTGTGGCTACCACGTGAGCATGGGGAACCCTGCAAACGCTGGCTGAGCTGGAGCCTTTGCTTGCCGAGCACCACCTGGCCCATTGTGGTAGGAGAGGCCCTCTCCAAGAAACTTTAACAATCAGAGAATACTGCTCAGTTGAATTGCTAGATTTGTGGCTACATTTCAACAGAAGGCACGAGAATCCTTTCACCTTGGGCAGTGAGGCTTTGGGACACAGGAGCTGACGGGATCTCTCTCTCCCGGCCTGAAGGAGAAAAAATGAGTAATGTCACCAGGCACCCAGCACTAGGGCTGCGTCTGCAGGGCCAGGGAGATCATTCTTTAATGGCCTGGATAATAATGGGATGTGGGGGGCCTGGCCAAATGAGGGAGACCTTCCAGGACAAGCCGGTCCCTGGGCGTCCATTGAGGAAAGTAGGAATGAGACAAGCTATCCATGCCCAGGTGTGTGAGGCAACCACAGAGCCATAATGACTGCTAGTAGGAACAATCACCTTTTGCAGGCTGCCCCGAAAGGATGACCTGGCCCTTTATTTTCCCATTTAAGTTTGATAATCAGGCAAGATGACTCATACAATCAGGCAAGACTGATAGGTTTAGGTGAAACTGAATAGGGTTGAAATGGAGTCTGCCCTGTAACTATGAAGAAGACTCAGGGGTCCCTGCACCCCAAAGAGTAAAGCTAAACATAAGGGGCCCATCTGTGTAATATGGATGAAAAAGGTGGTATTATTAGTAACAAGTGGAACAAGATAGCCTGATGCAGTGCTGGTGAAACGATGGAAAGAGCTACGCCAAGACCAGCAATTTCTGCCTCACCCCTTGGCCCTGCTCCACCACTGAACTTACCAGCTGGGTTTTCCCAGTTGCCTGAGATTAGGGGCGGGGCCAAGGTTACCCACAAGTAAGGGCAAGAGGCCTCACACAAAGCGAAGACCAACCATTGCCCTTGAGGATGTGGATGCTTAGTGCACCCCCATACACAGCTACCTGGAAAAATTTGGGGGACCTGGGTTGCCATGGATGGGTATGGGGGAAAGGCACTATGAGTAAGAGGTTTATTATCCATCCAAATAGGGCTCCTCCCCCTTATTTACTGTTCATTTCCCCAATCCCAGATAATACTTGGGAGATGGATATGGTCCCGGGAAAAACATTCCCGGGGGAATTTTGTCCCCAAATGCAGGGAGTAAAGGCCACCCTGAGAGGTGAAGCCCTTTGGGAACCAACCTGCCAGCCTCTTTCGTTAGTCTCTGGGCTTTGGGAAAATTTTACAACAGTTTAGGGGCATTTAGTACATGCACAATGGTGTGCAATAACCACTTCTCTCTCCAAAACACTCTCATCACCCTCGAGAGGAGCCCTGTATCTATTGAGTTGTTTTCCATGTTTACACAAATCTCCTTTCATCCGCAGAGATGTGCCTGCTCTGGCTGCTTCACGTAAATGGAATCTCACCCTGTGTGGCCTTTGGTGTCTGGCCTCTCTCACTGAGTTTTATGTACTCAACGTCCTTCCACGTTGTGGCACGTGCCAGTGCTTCACTTCTTTTACGGCTGAGTGATATTCTGTGTAGACACTGATTTGTTTCACACATTTCCCCATCTTTTTATCCCACTGTATAGTTTTTCTTTCATGTTTGATTTTTTATTCATAGAAGAGAAAGGTGCTGTGGTTCTGGTTTAGGTCACCTGGTGAGTTTTTATTTTCCTGAGAATTCTAGAGACTCATGACGCCTCAGGGACTGAGGGCCACCCCAGACAGTGTGTTTGGTGGCCCAGCTGGTCCCTTGAATGCTTGGGGGACGGGTAGATCGATGCTCACAAATGCTCTTCCTTCTGGGCACAGGTGTCATTTTGTGCACTAATGAATGCCACCTTCAGCGTTCTGGACGAGACCTGTGCAAACAAAACCACTGTCCCTTCTCTGAAGGTAATGATGACGGCTTTGTATTTTGTGTTTTGAACATCTCAGGGGACACTTTGGGTGCAAAAGTCTTTTTATAATTAATGAGTTGGGAGTTCATATTTAATTGATGAAAGTTGTAAGGTTTTATAAATTAACACAGTACAATTGCCCTTTTCTGTACAATTTTACATGTTTTAGCACTACCTGGGTAGATTGGTGTAACTACCACCAGAATCAGAAGGCAGAACAGTTCTAGTTCCCCCTAAAACTCCCGTGGGCTTCCCCTTTATAGTCACATATTCCGTCTACCACCAGCCTCTGTAAGTCTCTGACCTGTTCTGTCATTATAGTTTCATCTTTTAAAAATGTTATATAAATGGAATTCATTTAGCACAATGCCTTTGAGAGTTGTCAATGTTGTGTTTATGAATAGTCCCATGTTCTTTTTTTGGTAACCATTAGTGACATTTAGTACATTCACAATATCCAGCAACCATCACCACTGTAGTTCCAGAACATTCTTACCACCCCCACCCCAAAAACTGCATAAACATCTCTCCTCATTCCCTCACCCCCATGCTGCCTAGTCCTTGGCAACCACTACCCTACTTTCTGCGTCTGTGAACTTGCCTGGCCTGGACATTTCACATAAACGGAGTCACACACTGTGGGGCCTTTTGTGTCTGGCTTCTCCCACCGGTCGCCATGCTTCTAAGGTCCATTCACGTTGCAGTGAGTGTCAGAGCTTCAATCCTTTTCATGGCTGAGTAATATTCCCCTGTGTGGATGGACCATAGGTTGTTTATTCTCTCATCCTTAAAGAATGTTTGAATTGTTTCCACTTGAACAGCATCTCTTCATTTCCTCACTGCCGCCCCAGCTTTCAGTGGCTATTAGTAGAGCTGCTGCAAACATTCATGTCCAGTTTGTGTGTGTGTGTGCGCTCCTGAATTTATATCTCTCTAGGGCATGTACCTAGGAGTGGGATTACGAGGCCATTACAATTGTAGATTTAAAACCTAGTTTTTCTTAAGTCTTTAAGTTGGACTAGTGGATGTTGTTATTTTATTTATAAACATTTTTGTACAAAAATAAGAATAACACTTTCATTTGTAATTTGGGTAATTTAAAATTCATTTATTAGTATAACATACTAATTCCTTAACTGCACATTCATTCATAGGGCTTTCAGATTAAACTTCTATAAATAATTAACCATTTTTACAAATTTAGTACAATTCCTTCAAATATTTTATATTATGTTTACAAATATTCTTATTTTCCTCCAAATTTCAAGTATCTAGTGAGAAATTTACAAACTTAAAAGGCAAAGTCCTTAAGGAATTCATAAATCTAATCCAATGTATAAATACAATAATTCAGATTTTAAAAGTTTTGATGCAGCTTGTAGACAGCTCCCTTCTCTTAAATTGTGTTAAAATCACAAGTCTAATTGCTTTTTTGCAGTGAAACCATGTGGCGAATTGGTTAGCTTCTCAAATGTGTCAAATTGTTCCGTACCCTTCCAACAATAGATTTCCTCATTATGCCAAAGATTACAAAACCTGCTAATTTTAACACAAACGTATTACCAGTATTGCGCTTGTTTGCCTCGATTAGTTAAAAACTAAGCTAAATTCGTTTTATTAAGTTTTTACTTACCTGAGGATACAAAATAAACATCCCAGCTACGAAGAATAGATTTAACATTTCAGAGGGAGTTTGATGCGACTCCATCGACCCTGGAGATGAGGGCCACTGTCTGCCCGGTGGACTCAAGTGGAGGTTTTTCTGCTCTGTAGGCGGGGAAGGACCCCAGACTCCTGCCTTCCGTTGGGAACAGTTACAGAACTCAGTGCACCCCTCTTCTCCTGGACAATCATCTCTCAAGTTTCATCCTGACCCAGTTTTTATTGAAAAGTTTTTCATCTTTTTATTACCTAATTTGGATAAACAGAAATTAGTATCCCTGCTAAGATTTAGGGTAATTCCTTCAATGTCAGACTAGATTCAATCAATTTCTTCCCTGTTTTTTAGGTTGTGAATCCTTTATACATGTTATATTTTTTGTTGTTGGGGTTGAAGTCACATTTTATAGTCAATTTATTGTCCATAATCAATCACAGGAATAGTATCACCATTATTGTTGTTGTTGTTGTTGTTGTTGTTGTTATTATTATTGCTGGCCTTAACTCTGTTCCACAGACATTACCAATGCAACATTTACATGTTTCCTTTCTGTGCCTTCTTGCTTTGTGAATGTATCACAGACATTGAAGCCATTCATCGAGCACCTGCTGTGAGGGGTTCAGGGCAGCGATTAAGGATTCAACCTCTGATCCTAGACTTCCAAGGTTCAAAACTTGGTCCTGCCACATATTAGATATATGTCCTTGTTTCCCCATCCGAAAACGGAAATAATAATAGCCTGTGTTTCATAGATCTCTTTCTAAAGTTAAATGAATTAGTGTGTGACACTTAAAACAAGACCTGGCTCTTTAAGTGTTAGTTACTTTTATATTATGAGCCAGAAACATAAATACCATAAATACAAGCTATTGAAGTAGTTTTTTAAAAGTAAATGAGATAACATATGCATGCCATTCTGTAATGTGCTTTATTTAACAGTAGCTCATGGACCTTTTTGCTTGCTAAATCATACGGATACACTACATTATCCTTTTGTTAGCAGCTGCACCATGATTTGATTCTATCATTTACTTAAGCCAATCTCTTGGACGTTTAGGCTCTCTGACTCGTAACCATCGCCAACCACACTGAAATGAGCATCACTGAATAAGGTCCTTGCACAATTTTAAAGTATTTCTGGAAGGATTGATTCCTGGAAGGGAAGTGCCTGGGCCAAAGGGTATGTGCAGTGTCTGCTGTCCCAGGCACTGACTTACTACACACCGTAAAGGTTGCACCTTTTTGCGTCGCCCGTGGGGCCTCTTGAATCGGGGGAAAAGAAACTGAGTTTATGCTCTTTTAATTCTTTATCAGCCTTGCCCTAGACTGTCAAACCAGTCTCTTGATGAAAGAGGGGAGAGCTACTATTTCATGGATGTGTGTGTGAGAGAGAGAGAGAGAGAGAGTGAGCAAGCACCCCTTTGCAGAGTACAGCTGAGTACAGCTGAGAGCTTTGCCTCTGTGCTTGAACAAACATCCGCGTGGTCCAGCTTCACCAAAGACGAGATATCCACCCTGGCCACAGTCTTACTGGAGAGCGTGGAAAACACCACGTTGGCAGCTCTTCTGAAATCTTCAGCAAATGGCAGTCAAACTGTTCAGACAGAGCACTTAGGTAGGACATATCCTTCATGGCAAGGTCACACCTGGGTGCTGATTTTGAGGAGTGACTTTGGTGATGTGATTCTCCATGACTTTCTCCTGTACTGTTTCCCAAGTGTTTCAAACTTCTGAGCTCACAGCAAAGCAAATCCAATCACATTAACAACATCTCTCATGGATTGAGTGCAGGGCGCTGTTTTAAGAGTGTGCTGCCAGGTACTGCATTTGGACTGTGTCATTAATTCGCTCAGCAAGTATTTGTTGAGTACCTACTCTATGCCAGATGTTAAGGAATGTTAGTCACTTGCTATGTTCAAATATTTCCAGCTCTCTCTTCTGGGCTCATGGTAGGATGGTACTTCCTGGCTTGGAGTCAAGTGGGATTTTATGACTACTTCCTGTCAATGGATTGTGAATGAAATAGTTACCAGTACGAGACCCTCCAGAGCTTTCTTTCCCTTTGCCCTAGTGACAGGTTGTGTTTCAGATCACAGCTCCTCCATCTCTGCAGGTCTCAAGGTAAGGGCAAAATACATAGAGCAGTCCCTAGTCAATACACAAATGGGAAATAATTATTATTTTTAACCCACTAAGATTTGGAATTGTTTGTTACTGAGGCATAACTGATCCTGTCTTGACTGATGCACCCCAATCATGCATGATCTGTGACCACTTGGGAACGCTGGGTGCTGTTGACCTTTTACAGCGGCACCCCACTCCTAGTACGTATTCTAGGATCAGTCACATAACCTTAGGAATTTCCATCCTGATGGGTGCCTGGGATCCAAGACATGGAAACAGAGTATCTCGTGACTGCTGCCAGTAGTGAATAAAGCTAGCCTCATGAGTCTTATATTTTAGTGAGTTGAGCCAGACAAACAGACATCTGGTATACCAGGTAGAGCTAGTGCTATTGAGAAAAATGCAGCAGGACAAGGAGCCTAGGAAGGGACAGGATGAGGGGGACCACTGCTGTCTTACCCAGGTTGGTTAGGGAACGTCTCACTGGAGCAGGGGCCTGGGGGAAGGGAGCCATGTGAATATCTAGAGAAAGAGCAAGTGCAGGAATACTTGGTGAGTTCAGGGAACACTAAGAAGGCCAGTGTGGCTTGACAAGAAGGAGTCAGAAAAGAAAGGAAGAAGCAGATTTTGCAGACAAATGAAAGGACACGGGATTTTATTTGAAGCTGGGTTGGGGGTGGGGAAGAATTGGAGAGTCTGAGAATAGGCATAACATTGTTTATATTTTAAAAGGATACTTCTGGTTCCATCATCTATTATGTTTTTGTGAAGAGTTCCATACTTACGGCTGTGTTAGAGGTGAGAAATCTGAGGCTCAGAGAGGTTAAGACTTTGCTTAAGTTTACACAGCTGGCGAGCAGCAGAGCTGGGCCTCCGGTTGCACCATCTGACTGCAGAACCCGAGCCCCCATCCACATGCTGGGCTTATACCTCTCCCTTCCTGTTTTCTTCAGCTTTGGAAAACTCGTCTAAATTTGGAGTAGCAAGAGGGCCACAACTTTGTAGCCCTCCATCCCTGTGACCTCAACCCCACATTTCCCCTGATGCATTGTCCCCTAAGATGTGAGAGCTCACTTCTCGAGCTCCAGCTGGGTTTCACATTATTTGCTGCTACCACCCACCTGTCATTAATGAAGGTGCTCAAGTTCATTCCCAGGATCAATTGGCCTTTCTGTCCTTTCCTTGGCTTGTAACCAGGGATGCAAACCTGTGTCATTGGCCAGAAACCAAAATCAGGACCCACTTTCTGGGTGATGTCATGCAAAGTCTCCTTTTTTCCTTTTAGAGATTGAGAGCAAAGTCATCAAGAACGAATGCGCTGAAGAGAATGTGGCCTTTAACTTGAAAGCCAAAGGGAATGAGATGAAGATTGGCTGTTCCACAATTGAAGATGCTGAATCCACAGGTCCAGACCAGCTTGTGAGAGTCGAGGGTGGTGTGGGTGCATTCAATCAGCAAATATCAGTTGATCACCTCCCAGGTGCCAAGACCCGTGCCAGGCAGTGAAAGAACTGTGATGGTGGAGGCAGGAATAGTCCATGGTCCCAGGGAGCTATCCATCTGCTGAGGAGTCAGACATTAAGTAAATACTCTCGCAACACTGGAGTGTTGAGACCTTCACTGTCCAATACAGCAGCCATCAGCCACATTTGGTCATTGAACACTTGAAAGGTGGCAAGGCCATGAGCCTACAATATATACTGACTCCAAAGGCTTGGTGCAAAAAAAAAAAAAAAAGAATGTAAACTATCTTATTAATAATTTTTATATTGACTGTATATTGAAATGTTATTTTGCGTGTGAGTTAAAATTGTTTTAATTATTTTTTTTTTCCTTTTCTAAACTGTGACTACTAGAGAATTTAAAATTACAGATGTGGCTCATACGACACTTCTAGCGGACAGTGCCACTCTGTATCGGGGTTGGCAAGCTTTCTTGTAGAGGACTGGTTGGTAATTCTTTTAGACATTGAGGACAATACAGATCTCTGTCCCAGCTATCCCAGCTATTCAGCTGCGGGGTCGTAGTGCAGAAGCATTCACAGAGAGTACGTAAATGAATGTGTGTGGCTGTGCTGCAAGGCAACTTTTATTTAGAAAATAAAAGCACCCAGGCAGTGGCTTGCTTGGCCTGTCAGCCGTTGTCAGCCACCCCCTGATCTGTGTTCTCTCTGGAGGGCGCAGGGAGCAGGCCGAGGGCACGTCCCTGAAGACCACCAACATTGAAAGAGGAAGCCCACTGAAGAGACTGAGAATAACCAGAAATGTGAGACAGGAACTTAGCTCCCACTGCTGAGTCGAATTATCCCTTAAAAATACAAATTCAAATGTATTTTTCAAGGTAGCCCAGTTTTCTCCAGGTGATGGCACATTTTCTCTTTATGGTTCTGCTGAGAGTCCCCTGAAGTCCACTGGTGTTTCAGTCCTCAGAGTGGGCCAGAGAAGGTGCAGAGGTGCGTGGGGTATTAAAGCATGCATGTGTATGCGTTTGTTGGGCCATCTGGAATACCTACCGAGCAAACGATTCTTTTTTTTTTTTTTCACCTGGGGGACATGCCGGGACCACTGGGGTGGCTTTTATTTCCTTTGTGGGTATGGAGTCTGTTCTAAATGAGAGCTTCTTCCAAGACCCTCTGACCCCTAACTCCAAAAGGAAGTTGAAGATGAATTCTCACGTCATTGGGGGCATCATGACAGGGGAGAAGAAAGACGGGTTCTCCGAGCCAGTGATCTACGCTCTGGAGAACATCGAGGTTTGTGAAGGGGATCCTCCTGAGTCCCCATCTACCTATTGCCGGCTCCCCTCTCATTTCTCACGGGAGCCCACTTTTGGCAGTCGAATGTCTACAACTGCTAGTAACTAAAGCCGATTCTAAAGGAAGGAGCTCTTCTATTTCTATGGGATGTTCTTGCAGCCCTCAGTGAGTCAGATTTAGGTTAGCTAGAACGCTGACGCAGGAATGTGCACATGGTTTTTATTTCCACTAGCTACGACCAAGCCAGTGATAGAGATGTGGCATCCAAGACATTTCTTTCCATCACTGCATGTTGATATATCAGCATTTTTCCCCCTTCCCTACAGAACATACATACCTGCATCTTCTTGCCCCAGTGACTGTTGAGTGGTCACATTGAATCCATTCAAGAGGGACTCTCAGGTGACCAGGGCCTTTGAATTTTCAGCCAAAGCAGAAGTTTGCTTTGCAGAGGCCTATCTGCGTTTCCTGGAGCACAGACGTGGCAGGCGGTAGGTGGACCTCGTCTGGCTGTGAAGTCCTTGGAGCCTCCGAGATGCATACTGTCTGCAGCTGCAATCGAATGGCGAACCTGGCCATGATCATGGCTTCCGGGGAGCTCACGGTCAGTACCTAACCTTTGCGCTCTGACTCCCCACATCTGATGGAAAAATATTGATGAAACATCTGTGTGCCTCTCATGGTGTTGCGTGTTACGTGGGGGGAGTCATGGGGACCGAAGGGGTGTTGCCATGGCTCTGCCCTGGGCGAATTCATGGTGTGGTTGGAGAGCCATGACATTCGTATATCACATGAGAAGTGACTCTAAATAGGGGCAGGCACAATACCAATCACAGGTCCTATTTAATGAGCACCTGTTAGGGGCTGGACTCTTTATTTGAAGATTTTTTTTAGACTCATGTTACAGGATGGGAAGCTCATTTTATAGGATCACTCAGCAGTCTGCTTAGTTACGAAGCTTGTAATTGGTGGAGGTGGGATTTGAATCCAGGACGGTTCGGTTCCAGAGGTCTCTTTCACTAAATCATACAAGTGGTACAATAGGCTGTGCTGTGGGAATCCAGAAGTACTTCAGTGAGAAGTGGTGACAGATAAGGAAGGAAACAGAATATGAAATGAAACAGAGTATGAAATGAGCCTTGGTGAGCGGGGAGATTTGGTGGAGAGGAAATGCACCCTCCTTAGTCCGGTGGTGAGCATCCTTGCCTATCGTGCTAGATCTGAGGCTCGGTTTTTTGCCAGGAGGGCCCTGAATGCTGCTTAGAGGAATATAAGGCTTAAGACATAAGAGAACTGGATCCTGAGTAAGACTGATCTAATTTCAAGTTCCATGTCATTCACTTCCTGGCTATGTTTCCTTTGGCAAGCCACTCAGCGTCTCTGAGCCTGAGCTCAGGCTCAGTTCTTTCACCTCAAAAGAGAACAAGAAAAAAAAAATGATGATAACTAACTTTTCTACAGTAGGTAGTACGTCACAGTTGTGAGTAATTTAAGTATTTTCATTGAATGCCCCTAAATCCTCAAACAATCCTATGCAATGGTAACTATTAGTAACCTTTTTTTTTTAACAGATGAAGAAACTGAGGCACAGAGCAGTTGGGTGACTTGTCCAAGCTCATACGATGACAGAACTGTAGTCAGTTTTTTTAGTTACTATGTCACAATATTATAGAGAGGAACTCATGAGACGGCACCTGACATATCTTTACACAGCTTTAGCACACAGAGAGCACTCAAAAAAGTTTAAAATTAGTGAAAAATTATTGACAAATAATGCTATATGGGAAGGACTCAGTTTATCATTTCCCCTCCCAGAAGCTGTGGTGTCTCTGAACACGTAGGTGTCAGTCCCGGTTCCGCGCAGGAACCAGGAACCACTCGAGGTATTTCAGGCAGGAGGGGATTTACCACATGGAACTGGGTGCTCCAAAAATTGCTGGAAGGGATGGAGGAGTTGAAGTCGGGGCGCTGCCACTAGGATTTCGGCTTCAAGAACACCCCTCTGCAGCTGTAATTAGAAGCTAGAAATTGTTGTGTCAGGTGACTCCCCATCCATGGAATTAAAGGACTGTTGAAATGCGGAGTCCAGCCACAGCTCATTCCTGTCTGCAGAAAGCTGCTGTCTGCCTCATTCTGTCCTCCCAAAGTCTGTGCATGCATCTCATTGGAGAACCTGAAGGACATCCAGGACCTTTGCCCCAAGACGTTCTGGGAAATGTGGTTTGTAGACATCCTGCCCTAGTGATACGTAGGGTGGGGCATGGGACACAGGAGGGAATGGGTGCTGATGGGTGCTCGGAGATGCCAAAGAATGATGAGGGGTGACATCTCGTTTATTTTGCGTTTCAGGGGAAGAAACGCTCCCCACGCCCTTTCTGCTCAAGTCAGGAGTCTGTGTAGTTCTTTCTCCTGCCTAGGGGACTGTTTACCCCTTTCTGAGTGACAGATCTCTTTCCCGACAGATGGTTTTCTCCTTGTACGTCATTAGCTACGTGGGCACGGTCATCTCCCTGGTGTGTCTCATCTTGGCCATCGCCACTTTCCTGCTGTGCCGTGCCATTCGCGACCACAACACCTACCTCCACCTGCACCTCTGCGTGTGCCTGCTCTTGGCCAAGATTCTCTTCCTCGCCGGTGTAGACAAGGCTGACAACCAGGTCTCATATCCCTCAGTTGAGGCCCCATCCAACCCAGTCTTCTCCACATCAGCCTCTGCCCATCCCTATCCAAATCCCTCTATAGTAGTTCCCACCTCAGGGCCTTTGCACATGCTGTGCCCTGTTCATAATACTCATCCCTTCAGCACCTCACCTGCCTGACTCCATCTTGTGATTGGCCTCAGTTTAAAATCATTTCCCTGATCATGTTATATATTGTGGTGGTCCCTCCTATTACTCTTTAAACCACTGGTTCTCACCCAGGATGATTCTGCCCCGTTGGGGACACTAAGCACCATCTAGATACATTATTAGCCGTCACCTCTGGGAGGGGGTGCTGCTGGCATCTAGTGGATGGAGGCCAGGAATACTGTTAAATATCCTGCAACACACAGGGCAGCCCCCATGGCAGACAGTAACCTGGTAATAGTTTTACAACTGTCACTAGTGCTACAACGGAGAAACTCTTCTTACCATTTCATTTTGCATCCTTTCCTAGCACTTACTTGAAACTGTATTGATTATTTGTTGCTTAATTGTATATCTACTTTTGCCACTAGACTGCATGTCCTGGGAGAACAAGAACTTGGGTCACTTTACCCTCAGAACTGTGCCAGAAGCACAGTAGGCTCTCAGGGTTTTCCCAAAAGGAACACTGTTGACGTTTTAGGTGGGCGACTATTCTTTGTGTAGAACTACCCTTCCCACTGTGGGATGTTTAGCTTCCCAGTCTTTCAGGAACTAAATGGTAGTAGTGCACCCCACTCCATAGTTCGACCAGTGTTGGGCAAACTTCTATAAAGACACAGAGAATGTTTTTGGTTTTACAGATTCTACTATTTCTGTTGCCACTACTCAGCTCTGCTGTTTTAGCATAAAAACAGCCATAGAGAATACACAAATGGGTGTGGCTGTGTGCGCATGAAGCATCATTTATACAACAGGTTGCCAGTCCAATGGCTGTAGTTTGTGGACCTCCCATCTCCATATCTTCAGTCATCTCCTAAAGCAGGGTGATCATCTACCCATTTCACCCCAAACTCTCCCAGCTTTAGCACTGACAGTCACATGTCCTGGGAAAACTCAGTCCCAGGCAGACCAGGACGATTGGCCCCCCTACCAAAGGGCTGATACCACCTGTGACGAAGAATATCCCTATAAATATTTGTGGAATGAATGGATGAATGGGCTGTGTTTGGACAATGCCCACGAAAGCGGCCCATCTCCTGTCCTTTTCCTCTGAACCGGACCCTTGGAAGCGGGACGGGAACCCTGACTGCACCTGCCTCTCCTCTGCAGACAGGCTGCTCCATCATCGCGGGCCTCCTGCACTACCTGTTCCTTGCCTGCTTCTTCTGGATGCTCGTGGAGGCCACGATGCTCTTCCTTACGGTCAGGAACCTGAAGGTGGTAAATTACTTCAGTTCCCGCAAGGTCAAGATGCTGTACCTCTGTGCCTTCGGCTACGGGCTCCCAGCACCGGTGGTGGTCGTCTCCGTCAGCGTGCAGCCACAGGGCTACGGGACGCACACTTGGTAAGTGACAGCTCCCTCTCTCCCTGAAGACCCTGCTGCCAGGGGTCCTGATGATAATTACATGAAGCACAAGAAGAACAATAGCAATACTAGGAGTGTGGCTACATTTATTCAGCTTTCTGTGTACTTTTGCTCTCGGCGCTGCCTTGTACTGGAGCACAGGTTGTGCCCCGCACAAATCCAGGAGCCCCTGTTTGCTCTATAGTCTAAGTCAATGGTGGTGATGGAAACAGTGGGCTGGATTGTACAGTTTTAAAATCATGGACTCTGGAGCCAACACGCTTGCGTTTGAGTCCTGGCTTCACCCCCTCCTAGCTGCGCCACGTTGGACAAGTTACTCAACATCTGTCTTCTTCTGTGTCCTTATCTAGAAAGTGGGAGTTAATAACAATGTGTACATCATGGTGGCGTTGTGAGGGTGAAATGAGTTATTATCTGCAAAACATCTACCGCAGTGTCTGGCACAGAGTAACATGTCATGTCATAATAACATGCCTTACACATGTCATTATTATCACTGTTGTCTGTTTTAAGTGAGATATGTTTATCCCCTGTTTCCATGCAAGATGATTTTAGGACATATGCTGGTAGGTGCCAATTTAAAAAGTATTTCTTTTTTAGGTAATTATGACAAAATTGCCAGAATACCAAACTCATGATTTCACAGACACGGTTTGTGCTCATCTCTATCAGCCTTACCTGCTGAGAAAGCAACATCATCATATCATCCAGTCTCTCTCTAAAGAGTTTCAAAAATCTACTGTGTAAAGGAATCAACATAAAGATAAACTTTATTGAACAACTACGTTTGTGCTATTGCTAGAGGAGAGGGAGACAGATGCACCCTTGTTATCTGGCCATTCAGAGGAAACCATAAAACAATTGCAGCTACTCTGGAGTAATTCAGGAGATTGAAGGAAGTAATTAAAAGGGCTGTATCTAATAAAAACATACCATAAGCTCTGATTCCTTAGTTCTCTTTCATACCCCATATGGACCACTGTGAACAAAATGGAATGTTCTCCTTAGAGCTAATATATTCACTTTTCAACTGAATTCCAAATAACCCAAAAGTCTTATATTTTCAAATAGTTATGGCAATTAATTGGTCTAAATAGGCCAGATTTCCACTGATTCCAGGGACTAGATTGCCTATCATTACATCTTAGGATGAAATGCAACATATACACATCCCATCACCTTGGAAGTGGGTGGGTTTTGGAAATCTAACATAATTTGGAGTATAATATCAATGTGTTTCTGGAAAATGTATAGATATCATTTGTAAACCAAAATAGTATGCTCTAATGTAACACACGGTTTAGGTTTTGACTGGAGGCACATATGTAATAAAGACAGCATGCAGATAAAAAATATTTCTAGATATTATGAAATGATCACCACAGTAAGTCTAGTTAACACCCATTACCTCACAGTTACATGTTTTTGCTTGTGATGAGAACTTCTAACATGCACTCATTTAGCAACTTCAAAATATGCAATGCAACATCATTAACTGTAGGCAGCATGCTGTCCATTACGTCACCGGGACTAATTAATTTCGTAACTGGAATTTTGAATCTATAGACCCCCTTCACCCATTTTCCCATGCCCACCCCCACCCCTGGCAACCACCTATCTGTTCTCTGTATTTATGGGCTTGGATTTGTGTGTGTATATGTGTGTGTGTGTGTTTTTAAGATTCCACATATAAGTGAGTTCATATGCTGTTCATCTTTCTCTGTCTGACTCACCTCAGTATCATGCCCTCAGATTTCATCCACATTGTTGCAAACGGCAAGATCCTTCCTTTTTTTCAACAAATAGTTATGGAATGCTGTGTCCGTACCAGTTCTGGTTATTCAGAGATGAACAAAACATTCAAGGTCTAAATTCTCAAGCAGCTCATAATCTAGTAGGGGAAGATGGACAATTGGCCAGTCAACAAACAATTGAAAAAGATATTTATGATACAACTAAATGCTATAAAAAAGGCAGCAAGCCCCGTTAGAAAGGGACCAGGAGTAGGGACAGCGTACTTAGGAATATTCAGGAGTGGCCTCTCAGAGGAGGTGACATGTGAGCTGAGATGTGAATGACAAGGTGCGCCATGGAGAGTCCTGGAAAGAGAGAAAAGGGTTTACAAAGTTATGAACTGCGAATGGGCTCTACCCAGGGCACTAAGTGGACATTTCAGGAACATTTACTCAGGAAGAAGGTCAGAAAGAGGATTTGCTTAAGTCTAAAGAAAAGTGAAATGCAACCTTCCCTAGCATGAGAATTTTTATCTCTGTCTCAGCTCCCAATTTTCTCCGCCATCAGTGCCCTTGGCGGAGCTGGAGTAACCAATTCTAAGGTCAGGGGTCCGAGACAAGCACTGACTCCTGTTCCTCTCCACAGCTGCTGGTTGAATATAGAGACAGGGTTTATCTGGAGCTTCCTGGGGCCAGTGTGCGCAATCATAATGGTAAGCAAATTGCTTGGTGCTATGGGCTCTGGAGGAGGGACCTGAACCAAGGGGTGAGAAAGTGCCAGACGTTGCATAGCTGAGGTCACTCATTCCTCTAGATGTTCTTCCTTCAGATCCTTGATTCTTGAGGTTTCCCCGTTGGGGTGTAGCATCTTTGACTCATGATTTTTATTAATAGAACACTCAAATCCCCTGGGAGGGGCCACAGTCTTCTTTGTCCTTTGTGTTTCAGTAAAATGGGTCTATTAATCTCTTCTGAGCAAAGATGTTGAATCAGAGGTAAGGTAGAAAGAGTTTTTTAATTTTACTGAGACATAATTGGCAAATAAAAATTGTATATGTTTAAGGTGAACAACTTGATGTTTCGACATGTGTACGCTGTATAATGATCGCTACCATTTAACTAATTTACATTTCTATCACCTCACATCAAAATTTTTTCTTTTTTTTGAGTTTAACTTTTTGAGGTGACATTGTTTAGTAGTATATAAATTTCAGGTGTACAAAATTATAACATGATGTCTGTGTACTTGTATGCTCACCATCCAAAGTGTAATTTCTTTTTCTTATATATTTGACCCTGTTTACTCGATTTATCTTCCCCCCTTACACTTCTTACCCTCTGGTAATCACCATTCATTCTATTGTCTGTGTCTATGAGTTGGTTTTTGTTTTGTTTTGCTGGTTTGTTACTTTTTTCTTTTATGTTCCACCTATGAATGAAATCATAAAGGTGTTTGTCTTTTTCTGTGTGACTTATTTTATTAGTCTAATATCCTCAAGATCCATCCATGCTGTTGAAAATGGCAGGTAAAAACATTTAAGATCTACTCTTTTAGTACATTTTAAGGATATAATACAATATTGTTAACTAGTCACCATGCTGTAGATTAAATCTGGGGAATCCCTCACCTTGCTAAGTGAAACTTTGTAGTTTAGACCAACGTCTCCCACTTCCCATCTCCCACCTCTGGCAGCCAGCAGTCTACTCCCCGGGGACCCTGAGCGAGGCTGAGAACCAGTCCTTTGTCTCTTTGACGCCAATCCCGATTCTACAACATGATGTTTCTTCTGACTCTCACTCATGGCAGCTTGTTTCCTTGAGTCACTTATAATGGTTAATTGTGAGCTCATATTTTACCAATTTAATCTTGTGGATTATTTTTTTATTTTAAAATAAAGATCTTATTTATTTATTTTTAGAGAGAGGGGAAAGGAGAGAGAAAGAGAAGGAAAGAAACAACAATGTGAGAGAGAAACATTGAACAGTTGCCTCTTGTATGTATGTGCCCCAACTTGGGACTCTACCTGCAACACAGGCATGTGCCCTGGCCAGAAATCGAACCTGCGGCCTTTCGCTATACAGGACTACACCCAACCAGCTGAGTCACACTGGTCATGGTGGGAATGCTTGCAGTTGTATTCCTCCAGGTTTTTTTTCTCTGACCTCTATCAGATTTTTTTAGGGCCATGTATTAGTTTTCTAGAGCCACTAGAACAAAATAGCACAAACTGGATAATTTAGAACAATAGAATTCTATTGTCTTAGCCCTGGAGGCTAGACACCTGAAATCAAGGGGCTGGCAGGACCAAGCTCCCTCTGAAGGCATCAGGGGAAGGATCCGTTCCAGTCTTCTCTCTAACTGCTGGTAACCCAGGCTCTCCTTGGCTTGAAGGTGCCTGTCTCCTCCCTGTGTCCTCCCATGGTCTTCCCTCAGCGTGTCTGTCTCTGTGTCCCAATCTCCTCTTCTTACAAGGACACCAATCATATTGGATTAGGGCCCACCTAATGACTTCGTTTTAATTTATTCTCCTCTGTAAAGACCACATCTCCAAATAAGATTGCATTCTGAAGCCCTATGGATCTAGGACTTCAACATATCTTTGCGGGTGGGTGGGCACAGTTCGACCATAACAGGGCACCAGTCTTGATTCCAACTTCCCAGATGCATCCAGTGGAAATAAATAAGGATCACCCAAATGAGAAGAAGCAAAGGCTATTTCTCAAGAGATTGCTATATAAAGGGAGTCAGCCACCGTCACTTGACTTGCTAGTGTTAAAAGCAGGCGCAGAGGAAAGCGTTATAGAGGGGAAAAAGGGGAGCTCCAGGTGAGCCCCATCGGAGGCAGTAGGCGTGGGCTAACCAAAAGCAGGGCGCCCATATGGTTGGCTATGGGCACGTGTTGGCTTTCTCTCTTTGGTCTTGAACTGGAACCAGGGATAGAGATGAGGGAAACTAAATTATTAATCAGGTCCTGGTCATTTGGGGTCAGTTGCTACAGGAGTTATTTTTGTGCTTCCTGAAGTGGTTACTGAAGACTGTGGGTCAGAGTTCCATTTGTAAAGATGGTTTGGCCATGTTTGTTTTACTGATCAAATTAATTCTGGACTATGATAAAAAGTTAAAAGCATTTATTTGAGAAACAGGAGCTGCAGCCCTGGAGACACAGATTTTTCAGGTATCAACATAAATTGTGCTCCAGGGGAGAACAAGAAAGACAGGGTCTGTAAAGGCAAACACCCCAAAATATAATTCTTTCCAGACTTTGTTAGATTCAGTAAAACAAAACAAAACAAACACACACACAAACAAAACAATTGATGGGGAGTGGGTGTGCTTGTGTGAAAACTACAAGGAGGAGGGCAAGTCCCTGTGCTGTCCCAGGATGTTTATGGCTCAGCCTTGAGCTGAGTTTAGCAGCAGGTCAGCAACCCCGTAGCAGCGGCAGAAGTTGTGCAGAGGCCCCACTTGCCTCGTCGCCTCCGGACTCTTTAGTTTCTCTCTTAGTAACGCTGTTCCATTTAATTTTTTTTCTAGACAGTTCTTATATCCAATCCCTCAATCCTTTCTGTTGGGCTTTGTAGATCAATTCCGTTCTCCTGACTTGGACCTTGTGCATCCTGAGGCAGAAGCTTTCCAGCGTCAATGCCGAAGTCTCAACCCTCAAAAACACCAGGTGCGGTCCCTCCTTCCTCTTCTCTCCTCTTCCCGTCTCCCTTCTTTCTTTCCACAAATGACTATCTTTTCTTGCCTGGTCCTCTACCCAAGGCAGAACAGCACCGTGTCTAGATTTGAGGGCTCAAACCCCAGCTCTACCACTTACTAGCTCTGTGACCTTAGGCAAGTTACATAACCTCTCTGAAACTCATTGTCCTCATCTGTAGAATGGGGGTGTTGATATTGCACACTTTAGGGGGTTTATGAGCCGTTCAGCACAGTTACTGGGAAGAGTGAGTGTTTCATGTATTCAACCTATTAATACCTATTAATTTCCTAATTCTTCTGTGTACACCTATATGTGCATATTTACAAAAACAGAATATTATTTTTATTACCCTTTTTCTCTAACATGTCATGAGTAATTTTTAACTAGAAATTCATGAAGTCTTTTTTTTTGCATAGTATTTTCGTGTAAGGACACAGCATAACTCATTTAAATCATCCCTTACTCATAAACATTTAAATTATTTGTTTTCCTACTATAAACAAAATTGTCTTGAATATTCTTTTAGATAAATAATTTTTCCACACCTGGGGTTATTTAATCATAACAATAGGCATGAAGGTGCTGGAATCAAAGGGTAGGTTGGATTTTAACACTTTTACTATATATTGCAAATGGTTTTCCAGAAAATTTGTCTCCATTTATGAGTGGTTGTTTACCTGCAGTTTTGCCAGCACTGGGATTTATAATTTTTTATTTGTATTTTTTGCAGGCTTAATAGGTGAAATATACCTTCTCATTACTTTAGTTTCATATATATTTTATACCACAGATGTGGGAATGTCTCATATTCTTATAGATCTATTGGACAATAAAGATTTAAGACTGTAAAACAATTTAACAGTGTATAGGAGTCTTGCCCTGGCTGGTGTGGCTCAGTGGATTGAGTGCTCACCTGCAAACCAAAGGATCACGGGTTCAATTCCCAGTCAGGCCACATGCCTGGGTTGCGGGCCAGGTCCCCAGTAGAGTAGGGGGTGTTGGAGAGGCAACCACATTGATGTTTCTCTTCCTCCCTCCCTTCCCCTTTCTCTAAAAAATAAAAAAAAATAAAATCTTAAAAAAAAGTTTATAGGAACCTTAAAAAGACTTGAATCTGGGAAACACATTAAGGGGAATACCTGAAATGTGCTCTAGAGAGAACAAAGAAAGACAGGGTTTGTAAAGGCAAAAACTCCAAAGTGTAATTCTTTTTTGCAAATAAAGGGCTGCTGGCTAGGTTACCAGGATTTGGTTAGTTTCAATATGAAACAAAGAGGGGTAAAACCTACAAGGAGGAGGGCAAGTCCATGTGTTGTTCCAGTATGTTTATTGCCTAGAGCTGAGTTTAACAGCAGGTTCGCAACTTAATAGCAGTTCTGCCAAGGGGAGCCCAAGTAGTACAGAGGCCCCGCCTCCCTCAGGGCCTCCGGCTCTATTTAGAGTGAATCTCTTAGCAGTGCTTGTTCCACTTTATTTTTTCCATTACCAGACAACTCGTGTTTCCTAACTTCATCACTCAACTAATTTTTATTTTAAGAACTTACCAAAACCAGACACTGTAGGTTTTATCGTCAGCAGCCTGCTGATACCCTCTGCTTGTTCCCCTGTCAGTTTCCAGTCTCTCATCCATTTTAAATTTTTTTTCTAAAAATTATATTTAAGAAGTTAATGTAAAAAGTTCACAGTTAATACATGCAACAGTAAGAAAAATTAAGCAGTGTAAAATGTGTCAATTGATGGTCAACACCAACAGGAATCCCTCTTTATTTGGTGCAGAATAGCTCAATGGAAATACAGCATGGTCCTGGGGCCAGGCCCCTCTCTGGCTGACCAGCTCTGCTCTGCGCTGATCTGCTGCCCCCTGCTCTGGTGAGACGCCTCAGGTGTTCAGTGCATTCAGGGAGACACAGTCTTCAAGCTTTGATAGAAAGGAAAATGCTCTCTGAGCCAGCGGGGAGCAGGCTTATATAGACAGAAATCCCTGCCCCTGGTCCCTGATTGGTCCATCTCATGCAAATGAAGGCTCCAAATCCTCAGTTTGATTGGTCTGAAAGGCACAGTCCTGATTGGTCAGAATAGAGCCACTTTGACCAGTTTTGTGCAGCTTTGACTGGATAGGGAACACCTAGATCCTGTTGGTTGAAGTAGGATTCCAGAAATTCCTTTAGAAGGGCCTGCTCCTATGGCGGGAACACGTGCAGATGAGCAGTGCAATGCCTCTTCCGTGCATTTTGCGTGAGAGGCCCCTGTGCAGAAATGGCCGTTAGGCTCTGTTTTTTAAAATTTGAGCCTAGTTAGCCACCGGGAGCCCTTCTTAGTAGGTGTCTTATTTATTTTTTTCTCTCTCAGAGTTTACAAAGAGAATACATGAAAATAATTCCCTCACTCTTCCCTGACACCCGAAGCCCCCAGATTGCTCCCATTTTCAGCAGCCATTACCATTCAAATTGAGCTTCCTGCCAGGATATTCTATACTTGCACATCCTCCCCCTTTTACACAATGATAAGATACTCTACATATTGGTCAGTACTTTTTTTTTTCCACATAATATGTAGCTTATTTTATATAACACTTAAGGTTAAAGCTAACAAAAATGCTTATTTTCTGCCACATACTGTTCTACAAACCTTTAGGGTCTTGCCATCTCATTTATCTGCAGAACAAACAATACCACCATGTAAGTATTGTGTTACTATCTCTAGCAATGAGAGGAAACGGAAGCCTGGTGAAGTGAATGGATCAGTCAGAGTTAACTTGCAGGCAGTCTGACCCAGAGCCTGCACCCTTTCTTATTCTTTAGTATATTGTCATTCTCATCTCACTGAAAACATGATTGTGTACTGCTTTCTGTTTCTATAAATTTGCCTATTCTGGACGTTTCACATAAATGGAATCACACGCTGGGTGGCCTTTTGTGTCTGGCTTCTCTCACTGAGGGTCAGGTGTTCAGGGTCTCTGTGTTGTAGCAGTTGTCAGCCCTCCATTCCTTTCCATGGCTGACTAGCATTCCAGTGCTCAGAGGGGCCACTTCGTGTTGATCCTTCTTCCTTTGAAGGCCACCTGGGTTGTTTCCGGTTGAGGGAGAGGGGAATGGAGAATGACTGCTTAGGTATGGGTGTCTCTTGGGGGGGAAAAGATGTCTCGGAATTGGACAGTAGTGATGTTTGTACAATATTGTGAATGTGCTAAATACCACTGAATCACACACTTTTTGGTAAAAATGGTGAATTTTATGTAATGTGAGTTTTATCTCAATAAAAAGGGCTTTGTAGTATTTCATAGGATGGTTTCACCATTGATTGAGCGTGTCCCAAATTCATAGACATGTGGGTCCTTCTTGCTTTCAGACATACTGCATTAAATACCTGTGTTCACACATTTTTGTGCCCACGCGTATCTGTAGGTACACTGCGTTTCACATGCCTGTTGGACTCGATTTTCCCGCTTTGGGTTGGAGACTCTATCCCGCATTTATGCCTGCCCTGTTGGCGGGTCACAGAGTGGCAGCCTCAGACCATTCCTGGGAGCACGGCCCACAAGGACAGCAGTCACCTCCCAGCACCTTATCCTCTGCAAATCTTCTATCCCAGGTTGCTGACGTTCAAGGCCTTTGCCCCGCTCTTCATCTTGGGGTGCTCCTGGGTGTTGGGCATTTTCCAGGTAGGACCCATGGCCAGTGTCATGGCCTACCTGTTCACCGTCGTCAATAGCTTACAGGGAGCCTTCATCTTTCTCATTCACTGTCTGCTCAACCGCCAGGTATGTAGCTGCTGTCCTCCCCGTCCCTTCCTTCCTTTCCTGCCAGGGGACAGGTCTGTGGGGTACAATTCCTGCCCCTGGGAGTGACTCATCGCTTCGTTGTCTGTCTCCAACTCCAGGTACGGGAAGAATACAGGAGATGGATCACCAGGAAGACCAAACCCAGGTCCCCGTCCCAGACCTCAGGGATCTTACTGTCGTCCATCCCCTTTGCTTCCAGAATGGTGAGGGACTGCGTGTTTGATGCAGGTTCTGATGGAATGGAACGCCTGCTCCTTAGCAATACTAGACACTGCTGTCTGGTAGCACCTACTGTGAGCTAAGCGTACCCACATGCATTAGCTCACTGATTAAGTGTGCGGTTCAGGAGCCCCGCTGCCTGGGGTTACCTCCCAGCTCTGCCCCTTAGTAGCCATGTAACCTAAACAAGAGAAAATCATGACTCATACAGATATAAAGTGAGCATACGTTAAGGATCTTAATTATGCTTATTAATCAGGGAGGGAACCAAACAGATGTTTTAACTGGCTCAAAAGACAAAAGATTAAGTAGAGACATATATATGTATTATATAACATATATTATGTATAGTTTATATTATGCATATTATGTGTTGTATATAGTACATGTATATTATGTATTATGCATGCATTTACACATTATATGTACATTCTATATGCATCGTGTATATGTTATATATGTATGCAGTACATGTGTATTATGTAGTATGTATTGTGTAATACATATATTTTTTTTTGCATTCTACTTTCAGCCAGTTATGACATCTGCCTTGATCCCTTATTTATAATTATATATAATATATAATATACCATACAATTATATATAATAGAACTACACATATCTTTATAAATATACATATAATTTACATATATATTACACAGTATGTGTGGATTATAATACATATGTATGAGTTATAATACACAGGTATATAATAACCATTTAAATGAATGTGTAAATGGAGGTAAATTTGATTTTTCCACAGAATTATTCTGCATTGCTGTCAGCTATTTAAAATTCAGAGTTGTAAAATAGCTCCCACATAGATGGGATCCCCTGACAAGGCATCATCTTCTGTTGAAGCACACAGTTTTGTCTGCACAAGGGACTCTTCCAGTCTCATGGCTATAAACACCATTTATTAGCAATGATCCCCAAATTTTAAATAATGTGTAGCCTAGGCCTCTCCCCTCAATTCTATGCTCATATAGCAACCACCTACCAATACCCCCACTTTGATGTCTAACAGACGTCAGAAACGCAACATGTTCCAAACTGAGCTTCTGATCCTCCCACCTCCCAATTTCAAGAAGAGCCCTCTACCCAGTGTTGCTCAGCATCAAGCCGTGGTGTATCCTTGACTGTGCTTTACCTCTCACCCTCCAACTCAGCCTGTCGGCAAGTCCTGTGGACTCTTCCTCAAAATGTGTCCAGAATCTGATTTCCTTTCCTTCACTGTCTATGTTCTGGCCCAAGTTCCGTTGTCTCCAACCAGGATTATGGAAATAGCCCCAAAATGGGTCTTTCTACTTCTCCTGCCACCTTTTCCTTGCCCCACCTTTGAAATGTTCTCCCTGCAGCAGCCAGGGGGCACTGGTGAGCACCTGAGTCAGTTCACCTCCTTTCTCTCCTGCAGCACTCCATGGCTCCCACCTTACTCAGAGTAAAAGCCAGAGTCTTCCTGACAGCCCACAGAGCCCTCTCTAAGCTGACTCGTTTTCACCCTGATCTCGGCTTCAATTAACTACCCCTCACTTCACTCTGTTCCACCCATACTGGCCTGCCCTGGATTCTACAAACATGCCAGGCTCACTTCTTCCTTAGGAACTTTGAACTGGAAGCTCACTGTCTTAAATGTTGTTTTTGTATCCACGTGGCCAACTCTCTCACTTCCCTCGCCTCCTTCAAAGCTTTGTTTCAATCATTGTCAGTGGAGTTCCTCTGACAACTCTTTTGTACCGTCTCCTCTTCTGCTACCCTGACATTCATGTTTTCCCTGTCCCTTTGTTCTAACTTTCTTTTCATAGAACTTTCTGATTTCCGACATACCATAGCTTCTTTACTTATTTTATTTTTCACAGTCTTTCATCCTTCCACTAGAATGTCTTAATTTTTCATTGCTATATAACAAGTACAAATAAATAAGATCCAGTGATTTAGTTAAATAGATAATTATTTTTCTTAGAAGAATAGAAGCCCAGAGTTAGGGGTTGCTGGTATTGGCTCCATTGCTTGATAGTATTGTAAAGGGTCTAGACTCTCCCTAATTTGCCATTCCACTAGCAGCATGTTGGCTTTTCATCAGATTATTTTCATGGTTCTAAAATGGCTGCTGTAGCTCCAGCCATCACAACCATGTTCAAGGCAAGAAGGAGAGGGATGGGGCAAAAGTGCCAGACTCTCCTTTCAATCCTCTCCCATTAACAGGAAACAAAAGCTTTCCTAGGAACCCCTCAGCAGATTTCCCTTTTACCTAAATGATCAGAAATGCCTCTTGTGATCACTCATAGTTATAAAGGAATTTGACAAGTCACGTATTTGGCTTTCTAGCTTCTCGAATCAGAGCTATCATTGATGAAGAGTTTGAGAATGGCTTTTGAGTTTGCCAGTGATGCCTGCCATGTCAGGAATAATCACTGTTAACACTTTAATGTCTATCTTCCTCGTCTTTGTTGCTGTGTTCATCTCTCTGTAGTTAGAAAACCCTTGCCCCTTACAGATATGACCCCTGGCATTAAGTTTGTACTGATCTTGCTGCTGATTGTGATTTCTCTCTTCACAGGACTAAAGCCCTTTCTTGCTTTTCAAATACGTTATGGAGCAACATTTGAGGCAAACAAGTGCCTGCAGGAGCCTCTCCTGAAATCTTCTCTTCCTGGCTTAATGCAGAAATGTAGGATCCTGCCAACTCCAGAAAATTCTGGGCAATTTGAAGCATGGATGGGTGGGGCAATCTCCCCATGGTTTTGGGTATTGCTGAGGAATGAGAGTTGCAGATAACAGTTTCATTTCCGTGTTCTGCAACTCTGACTTTCCAGTTTTGTGGAAATAACAGATCCTGGTGCAATGGCATGAGCAAGGAGATTTGGCAGCCATTTTGTTTTTCCTTATGTTTGTTGCTGTGTGGCTCTAAGCATGCCTCTCCAGCTCCTGATGCATGCCTGGTACAGCACAACGCTCAGTAAGTGATTCGTCGTCCGACTGGCGTACCCTGTGACAAAGACTCCCCCTGCTTCTAAAGAAATCGTCAGTAAAACAGTAACGACAGTCCCAAGAGGCAAATGAAGCACATGGACACATGGGCTCCTTTGGCATGAACACTTGAGAGTTAGGTGGGGAAGGAGGAGGGCTGATGGAGCAGAATCCTCGCATTTCGTGAGAGGTTGGAGCACTTGATGATAACAGCCTTTGGAAAGTGTTTTGGTTTCCTGGGACCTTTCAGGGAACCAACATTTCCCTGCCATCCAGGAGCGTTTTAATGACTTGGCCAGGATGCACCCTGCTCACAAAGTTATTGCTGTCCCACCGGGCTCTCCATCTCCCATAAAATCTTGAGTGCTAGGGAGAGAAGGGGATGAAAATTTAAAATGAAGAAACTCCCCCTTCAATGGCTTCTCTGGTTCCTCCCTACTCAAAGCGTGGTCCGTGGCTCAGCCTCACCTCGTTAGAAAAGCAAGATCGCAGCTCCCACCCCAGGTAGGCAGAACCAGAACTTGCATTTTCACCAGGGAGTTTGTGTGGTACCCCTGAATGAATGTTCTAGAGTATGCTAGAATATTCTGTTTGCCATGCTGAATGCCAGAAAGGAAACATCTTGAGTTTACTTTTGTTTTTAAGGTAATTGAATAAAGCTGAAACCTCACAATAGAGATTTTTCTTTCTATAACATCAAGCTATGCCTGGGGAGTTCCTTTACCTGGGTGGTCTCATGTGCCTCCGCTAGAGAGAGAAGAGAGTCAGAATAACTGCATGGTTCTTAAGGTCCCTAAACATGAAATAACTTTGCCCTTTTATAATTCAAGTAATTTATGGTGTACAAAAATACAGATCTGTTCTCTCAAGTGATATTATTGACCACCTACAATGTGCCCTTTCCCCCTGAATATCAGAATAGTTGAAAAAATTAGAAAACTGAAAAGTAAGGATATTGGAACCTAAAACATTCTAAATTTAAAAACTTGATTTATCCTCAAACTAGAAGTTATTAAAATTTGACTTTCTTGGTTTGAAAGGAAGCAAAATCAGTATTTTCAAAACCAAGTTCTAGAAAAAAAAATCATAAAAAATATATTTAAAAGGTGATCATAAGCTCATTATGATCCGGCATAGGACAGATCTTGGACTTGAATATTTTATTTATCATGGATTTCCTTGCTTTGGTTTTGATTTTTAAAATGTTCCATTGACAAAGTATTTATGTAGATTTCTTCGTTTTTGGTTCCCCCTTAAATTTTGTGCCCGAGAGGAGTGCTTCTCTCCTTTCAGCCTAGTGCTGGGCCAGATCATGACCTTCTGGGGGAAGATTTATAGCATGTTTTTCAGGAAATGGGACAACATCTTTGGTACTCTTTGCTTATAAACCCTTGATGATAGTAATAATCTCTTAGTCACGTAGGTCTATAGGTACAGGAGAAATCATGATGGGGCAGCACCAGACGGCTCACGCCCGCACAGGAGTTGTCCTGAGGTGCCCTGCAACAGGCATGCCTATGTTATTTTAACATCTTTATTTTTCCCACTTGTCACATTGAGACCATCTTTTCAACTCATGAAAGCTTTTGGAACTTCCTTTTTCCCCTGATGGTGATTTCTGATTCCTATGTGTCATAATGTATTTAGCCCGAGTTTGCATCATTTCTAACTTTTCAGTACTATAGACAAAATATTGTAACAAACACCTTTGAGATACACTTTTTGAAACCTTCTACTTAAATGCTTCTGAAATTACTAATAGTTATTAGTGGGAGGAAGCTTACATGTCTTAATATCTGCTTAAAAAACAACAACTGCACAAAAGCTGTCAAACTGTCAAAAAAGCAAGCTATTAGGAATAAAGTAATTTGAAGATAAGGTCTGTCTACTCAGAAAAGCTTCCCATTGTGGGTTCTCAGTCATTTGGTGTCTTTCTTGTCTTAACACTTCTATTCCATGGCACCTGAAGTTATCAATCTTTCTTTCGTGATACTTAGCATGGTAGGCTATCAGCAGAGGTTCGTGTGCTTTGTGCCCAGCTGTGCCATGAGTTCTGTGACTGATGTGTCTCCATGTGCCCAGGCTCTAGCAGAAGACTTGGTTCACTGACTGA